GACCTTGTTGTGGAAACCTCGTACTTTGTACGTACACATTTTAATAACAAGGCTCACTGGAGAAAATCACCAGGATGTTGACTTCGGGTCTTGATTTGCTCGAGGTCTGGCTATCCCTTTGCAGCACAGTAGACACAAAGTAGCTCGTGGATCGCTTGGCTTCAGTCTATTCCAGAAACAGCGTTGTGTCCTATCGTATGTTTCGACTCTACTTGTACGATCCATTGACGCAGACCATACCTGGGCAAATGATGGTGTCTTTTGGCCAGTGTCTCGACCGTGGATATGATGAAGATGTACGATATAACTTATTATATTTTCGTTTTTTCTGATTCAAAAGCTCCTCTGAAGTTGTTCTCTAGAGTGACACTAGTTTTTGAAATGAAAAATTTAGAAATTCTTGGATCGAGGAAGCTTCTTCGTGGCTCACTGATATGGAGATACCAAAATATTATCTACTTTTCCGGTCTATTCCTTGATGCAAATTTTTCTGACATATTGGCATATTAGAATCAAACAAAAAATCTATTTTTTTATTTCTCGAAAAAAATCTATGTGGCACGTGAATCCTCACCTAAGATTGTGATATTAATTCTCCTTATAAAAAACAAAAAAATTGGAGAGACATTATTCTGGTATCAAAATTCAACTAGCAGGTTGACTTCAGGCTTGGACAATAATGTGGCTTCGCACTGAAAACAAAACGAGCCCCACGAGTCTTCACTCGGTAAAATACACATACTGGTGGAATTCGTTTTGCTTTAAGTGCAAAGCCACATTATTGTCAACCCTGAAGTGAACCTGCTGATGGCAGGAAGTAGGCTTAAAAAGCCCGTGATACACGTCAGATGGCATATTCAAAGCAATTTTTAGGTGTTTTGGATTTTTTCCAACAAAAAATTAATAAAGATCACATGTAAATTGATAAAAATCATATGATAAAAAAAAAATTGAATCGTTACTATTATTCCAGAACTACATGTTCTAGAAATCTACTCACGTTATTTTATTTTATTTTTTTAGAGTAAATTTTGATTATTTCTAATTTTTCAAAAATTCAACTTCATGTATGATATAAAATTATGGTCTTCAAATTTTTTAATATTTTTAAGTCCTGCTAGAAAAAAATTTGAAATCTACCTGCATCTTATCAACTTGAAAGTACATTCTAAACTGGTTGAATCATTTATTTAGGAAAATTTAATTCTGCTTTATTTAGAAATTTAGAAGATTTTTTACCTATAATTTTCAAACGTGTTGAGAGATTATTATTTGAATTTTATTTTCGTGCAATCGCTTACCAGAGGTTTTTTTTTTCAATTTGAGATTCCATTTGCAGATATTGTACAACATAAAATGCTCTTTTGGAAAGGTGAGATTAAATTTAATAAAAAAATTTGGATTTATAAAATTTTCTAGTTAAATATTCCAGCACAATTGATCATGTTCTATTCAACTCCTTAATTTTCTGTAACAATTTTCATTTATCATTATCTAATATTTTTTCGATTTTAGACAATTTTTATATTGTTTCAAAAAAATTAGCTAAAAAGTAAAAAGATCAAGATAAGAAATCAATCTAAACATTAGAACGGGGTTCGATTTATTTTTAATAAAGTACAACCATTAAAATCGAAGTGAACTCTAAAGCTTTCAAAAGCTTCCTAAATTTTAAAAACGTGAAATTTAAATATGAAGTGCATCAATTTCAATATGATTTATACCATGTGATTGAGAAGAAAATTAGTTTATCTCTATAGAGAAATTCCTAATTTCCCGAATGTAAACTTAGTCTGATCAATTCGACTTATTGCAGAAAGAGATCTGTTAAGTGTCTAAATACAGTTGAAAGTTGCAACACGTTAATTTGTCCAAATTTTCCTGTTTCTTTTGACGAATTCATTTTGAGTACTTTGAAGGTCTATGGAACTCGTGGCAATGTAAAACGGAATTAAACGGTGCGGAATAAGAGGTCATGGACAGGCCTCTGTATATTAGGCATTCTAAAAGTAAATGCCTAATGTGCCTAATTTCATAGTTTGGACATGCTTAATCTCAATAGATTATATGGCATGAGAGAGATTGGACCGGAGATCCCTCTTCACATGAGCTTATTCTTCCTAGCCCAAATTGGTCGCAGCGTGAGATGTACATAGTTGGTAGACACTCGAACATCAACGGTGGAATCTGATTTGCAAAGCATGTTATGCCTACAACTGCAGAATGTACAGAGAAAATCACGTTTTGATTACTCACTATGTTTTCGTGCACATAGATTGGTGTACCTTGACACTTTGTCGTGCCTATGGTTGAAGGTTTTAGAGACCGTACTCTAGGTGCTTTATCGCGTCTGTATTGCTTGAGTCCATTCCATGTGGCATTTTAGTGAAACTGTGCTATGGCTGGTGCTCTCCGAACACTTGTCGCACAGTATCTTCAGCCTCCTACTATGATAGTAGTACTTTCATGCTTGAAATTACTGACTGTGCTTGTTGCTACTGCATATGTGTGACCTAATCGACCTAAACCATATCGACTGTTGGATCATACACCCTACACCCAAATCTTAAATTCGTCTTTTGTGTTTCAGGTCATTTAGAACTGATGGCAAAGAACTGGATACCTAATCTTATCTCAGAAATAAGATTCAACATCTCATTGAAAACTTTTTCATGCCATGGAATGATTTTCTAATACAATCAGTATGACCGTTTGCGCACGATTGAGCAATAAAATAGTTTTATCCTAGTATTATCAACTTTTTCGAATGGTGATATCTATTCTTATGGGAGTGGCTAGTTATCACTCCGTCACTATCGTTAATTATCCCTCACATGTCTAATATACGCAAGCATCATGATTGGTCGATACCTCACATGTCTAATTTACTTGAGGCTAGAAACTTGCCTAATCTACATAGGCCTGGTCATCGGTAAGTTATGAAACTCATCAATCTGTCTTCTTGACCGCAGAGTATGCGTCCCAATCTCAACTTTTTGTGTCTCTCATAACACACCGAAGGTAGCAGAAAGTTAGATTAAGAGCAGAATTCTCCGTCTATGACGTACTTTACTCTATGTAGCATACTTTAAGAGAATAATTGACTCAGAAGGCACTCGTGGACCGCAGAGAGACTCATGAATGTGTGGAAACATGATGTCACCACCTCCTCCCATGAAGCTTTGCTAAAAAAGGTGAAAGATGGAAGGTGGAGATGTCATTGACAAAGGATTTAGTAATCTGAACTAAGTACCAGTAGCCCCCAAGTGCAAAGGTTTCGAGTTGTTGTTGTTGTTGTTAGGCCTAGGTGCTAGTAGGCGATGGTGAAGTACAACCAAACATTAGATCTATTGAAAATGGGAGTTCTTGTGACTTCTTTGTTATACTGCGATCATCCAGCATGGTTCTCACTTCTCCTAGCGTCTTTGTCCATCATCATTGAAAAGCTGCCACAATCTAGGTGACAACTTTTTTGATAATCAAGAGCTTATGATATAGTATAGTTGAGCTCTAGATATGCAAATGGATTGTATTTAATGTGGATGTTGAATATTCTTCAAGGTCTCCTTCATATGCATCTATTATTTTCAATACTTAGAGAGTTTGACAGACTTTTATCATGCATCGTTTTTAACTATATATTTACAGAATTCTCATTTCTCTTCTCATGAGTCACTTCACTTTTTATAGGATCTATTTGACAAATATATCTTATAGTAGTAGCCATATTCGATATGGATTTTTTTTAAATGTATATGAAATTCATGCTATGTCAAGTTGTGTGTTCCCTGTTGTGTACATTTTAAACATAATGTGGGTTATGCGAAGCATAATTTAAATGCTTTTCATAAGTTCATTATTGAGCTTCATTGTGTAAATTTGAGAATCAAGATGATATAATATGATTTATTTTGAGCATGACCCCTTATATCTTTAGCTTGTGAAAATATTTATCTATGCAAGGATGTGACTTAAAATAAGTTTTAGAAATTTAACACTATCTTGACATATGGAAGGTTTTATATCGTTGAAGATGGAAAATAAATCTTCTTCCTATTCATTTGTTTCATCAATTAAACTAACGGTCTGAGATCTAGTTTGATAGGGTGGTGGTTTTAGCAAACTCTACATTTCTATATATTCCTATAAATTTCATATTCCTCAGATTTTTCTACAGTTTTGCTTTCAAAAGATTGTAGGCTTGTGAATCTTTTGTCAATCGTGTATAAGAGACCTTGAGCACATGAGATACTTATATACTTATGATGCAATTCCGCCAAATTTGATACAACACTATTCATCTTCATTAGTCACATATGAAAGCTTTACCACATTAATTGCAAGTAAACTTTATATGACTTATTGTACATTTATATTTGATATTGTACGAATTGATGAATACCAAGTTCACATTCATAGAGCTTTGATATGACTTGCAATTGACCTGGATTAGAATTGTGTATATAGATGTTGTGGTTACCATCGTACACATTAAACATTCTGGGCAATTGGTAGATTTCAATGAGTGGCAGCAAGGGGATGGAACCAACTAAGGTCTCTAGATATAATAAAATGTCCAGAAATCATTTATTTCCTTACTTTTACATCCCGATATGTACTTAGACCTCAACATGGCCGCGAGAACAAGCTATATACTATTTGACATTTCACATTATTTAGGTTATTGTATGAACTAGTTTAGTCGATTTAAATTTAAAAACTAGAACATGTAAGATGTGGTGATGTGACTGGAATTAGGATTTTCGTTTTTTCCACGTACACCTTCATGTTGTCTTGGGTACTTGGTGTTACGTAACTTTGATATTGGTTCGGTGCATGTGATGTCATGCATATGAGTAATGTGATGGTGTGGACTCTTGCACGTCCACGTACTTGACTCCGTCTCACTTTATATTGTTTTGGCATCTCGCAATCCTGGTTTCGATTTGGACATGCCGTCGTCCCCGTCTGGCTGTGCGCAGACAATATAATTCATTCATTTAGTCATCGTCGTTGGGGGCCATGTAGAAAAATCTGGAACACAGGTCGGTCAAATCATAGTCTATTGACCGAAAGGTCTGCTTAGTCAGTTCGCTAAAACGATTCTGAAGACCCGTGTTCTGCGGCAGCGAATGATGAAACTTACAGGAATGGTAATGGGTTTGTGTGGGCTTTGTCTCATTGGAATTCCATTCTCGTTTCCATAAAAGGGTCCAATCCAGCTAAAGCAGGATGGCGATGGCGGTGTTCGAATGAGAACGCTGCGTTGCTGAATTGTACCGACCTGATTCCTTCGTGTCTGGGCGACTACATACGGACGTCTCTGTCAATCCTCCGACTTGTTTGTTGGCCTTCCCAAGCTGGGCTCATGCTCTCTGTATGTGTGTACGACGAACTCGCATACATGTGGACTGGAGCCAGTTTCTGCAGATTACGCCCATCGTAACCGAGTGCTTCGATTTGAGCTTTCCGCAAGCTCTGATGCAGTGATTGCTAGAGCATGAAACCAAGCACTCTTCGCAGAATCCAGTCTTGACAAACTTCGAGCTGAGTCTTTCTGTCTTCTTGCTCTGTCACACTCGAGCTCAATCACAGTTTTGGAAGGCTGCCAAGGTTTCTGAGTCCCGTGCGTCTTTCAAACCCGCGTGTCCAAGTTATTTTTGGGTCGCCGGTCATGTCAGACCTCGTTTCAGTCAGACCTCATGACCTTAGTGGATGACGTGATCTTCGTCTGACAAACGGAAGCTTTGTACTTTCCGAGATTTGTTTGTTCCAGGTCGTCAGTGATTTTGCAACCTAGGTAGGTTCTCCGATAGAGTGATCGGTTTGCCTCTACGAAGTAGTGTACATTCGTGGCAGCCTTTGCCAATTTGTTCAGGACAATCGCCGATTTTCCTTTTGTTACCGTTTGAAGCTTGGACAATGGTGGCAACATTCGAGTGTCTATGTCGGCCAGTGGAAGGAAGCTCAATTCTGATGGGGTGAAATCCGACTACTACGAACGTTTATGAAGTTGGAGGACAGAGTGAACTCTGTGTATTTGATCGAGAAATACAGTTCCAGAGGCGGCAATCATGGTCGGGGGCCCTGTGGAAAATGGAGAGAAAGATAAACGGTATGCCGGCCATCTCACGAGCTTCGTGGTCTACGCCAGTATTGTCGCTGCAAGTGGTGGCCTCATTTTTGGCTATGACATTGGAATCACAGGTATGTTCAGAAGCGTATAATTACCTGAAAGTCGGCTTTATGAACTCGCTGGCCTAATCTCTGGAGTTTTCAATTGCGATGACGTCCACTTCTGCTTTCTGCTGAGCTAGCAATCAAATTTGTTCAGAAATTTCGGAATTATAAATTCGGAATTTGGGGAGTTTCACTTCGAAAATAACTTCAGATTTGATTGGTTACTGGAGCTATTTCGCCCCCAGACTTCCTGTTACGGCTTTACTTTATGATGATATGATTTGTTTTTCTTCCTGAAACAACTCCGATGTGTGATGTGATGGCACTTCAGGAGGAGTCTCTTCCATGGATGATTTTCTGAAGAAGTTCTTTCCGAAGGTTTACCGAGAGCGACATAATAAGAACAATTATTGTGCCTATGACAATCAAGCGCTACAAGCTTTCACATCATCGCTTTTCTTGGCGGGCATGGTTGCCTCTGTATTCGCTTCGTACAGTACTCGACTGTGGGGACGGAAAAACTCAATGCTAATCGCTGGCTTGAGCTTTCTGATCGGTGCAATTCTGAACGTGGCAGCTCAAAATCTCATCATGCTGATCATCGGAAGGATTTGTCTGGGAATCGGTGTGGGTTTTGGCAATCAGGTGGGTTCACCTGGAACGAATGCACAAGTTTGTGTTGGAACGTCCCGACGAGTGAGATGATCGATTTGTGGATAAATCAAAATCCATATTCTGTCACAAATGTATGCTAGATTTTTTGCGCTCGATATAGTTCCTCCTGCTTCAAGTTGTCTACACATATTGAGGTGGCTCATTCGTGTTGTACTGGGTTTCTCAGGTAGTTCCTCTGTATCTCTCTGAGATAGCTCCAGCTCATCTCAGAGGTGCATTGAACATGATGTTTCAGCTCGCAACAACCTTCGGAATACTTATCGCGAATCTTATAAACTATGGAACTAACAATATCCACCCTTGGGGTTGGAGGCTCTCATTAGGACTTGCTGCAATTCCAGCCACCGTGCTCACCATGGGAGGAATTTTCCTTCCGGAAACACCCAACAGTCTGATTGAGCGCGGAAAAATAGAAGAGGGCAAATCTATGTTGAAAAGAGTCCGTGGTGTGCCGGATGTGGAAGAAGAATATAGAGATTTGGTACAGGCTAGTAGAGTTGCAGGTCAGATCAAGCATCCCTTTAGAAATCTGTTGCAGACGCGGAATCAACCACAATTGGTGATGGCGATTTTTCTTCCATTTTTTCAAATCGCGACTGGAATCAATTCGGTACTGTTCTACGCACCACAACTATTTCAGACAATCGGATTCGGGAGCAGCGCAAGTTTGTACTCGGCAATTATTATTGGAGCAACGCTGTCACTTTCTACATTCGTTAGCATAGCGTTGGTGGACAGAGTGGGGCGAATGAAACTCTTCTACGCCGGTGGAGCTCAGATGTTTTTAACCCTGGTAAGAGCTTTTCCCCAAATGAGCTCACGTTTTCGCACTTTGTTTGGTAGTTTTTTGGACAATATAAACATTACATTGAGAATCTTACACACCAATCTCTGCAAGAAACTGTCTGGTTAAGTCCCACTTCAGTCGTGCAATCATCATTGACACCCAACGAAATACAAGATTTAAGAAAGGCCATGAGACAATAAAAAGTATTTCAATGAACATATTTCACCACAAAACTTCTGATTTCCAACTGCAAGTCTTGGTCCAAACGTGGCCAGATATTTTCAGCCATATGTTAGAGAAGAGTCGATGGAAAGGTTAACTGCTGCTGACTGCAAGCGACTGATGTTTTTCCGTTGTACTTACTACGAATCGTCTCTATGTTCAGGTGTTTCTGGGCATCGTCATGCAGCTCAAACTCGGCCTGTACAATCAGCTGGAAAAGGGCTGGGCGGTGTTGATCGTGGTGTTGATATGCATATATACCGCCGGTTTTGGTTGGTCATGGGGCTCTTTGGGATGGACAGTGCCCAGCGAAATTTTCCCCCTCGAGACTCGATCAGCGGGCCAGAGTATTGTGGTTTCTGTCAACTTCTTCTTCACCTTTGTCCTGGGCCAAGCGTTGCTGACGATGCTGTGCCATTTCAAATTTGGGATTTTCTATTTCTTCGGGGGTCTGGTGTTTCTCATGACAGCGTTTGTTGCCCTCTACCTTCCTGAGACTAAAGGTGTACCTCTAGAAGAAATGCCTCTTCTTTGGAGCTCCCACTGGTTCTGGAAAAGAATAGTTCCTCCACCATCAGCTATAATTCCAGGAAGCCGGTCTTACAGTGTAAGGTTATAGGTATTAGCTATTTATAAAGTTTCATCCTTCGTCCTCTTGTAAACATGGCTCGCAGTTTCGTATTACTTTCCATTCATTGAATTTGGCAGAATTTTAGTCTAGATCTAAGGTGTATATTTTTGTTCGTAGATATTCATTCCAACATTTTTCATTCATTATATCTTGAATGTGTATATTCCTTCGGAATTTCCTGGCAGTTTCTCGCAGGATGTGTGCACTAACAGGAGTTCACATTAAATTCTGTTTGGAAACTTTGCTATGAAGAGGACTGTGATTTGCAAGAAGCATGGGTCATGCATGCCGTGTGATGATGTCATAAGATGAGCCGGCCGATTTTCCTGCGTAGCCTGTATTGTAAGAGACCGACCATCTTGAGGACCTTTGCAGTCAAAAATCTGGCAGATCACTTCGCAGATTCGCATTGACCTCTGCACCAACTGTCTTTGACCTTTGAAAGGCTGGCAACTTTCTAATACAGGAAAAAAATCGGCAGTAACAAAAGATTACAAGGAGGGACCGGGTCATGGCAATCTGCAGTGTCCCTCAGCACGTAAAGAAGATAATTGACTATGCCAACGGACAAATTTCGTCTGTCAAACGAAAAAAACACAGAGCTTAGCCAGCTGTTAAGTTTCTGCTACGTGTCGCAGCTTTTTGAAACGCCGGAAAGCAGACTGTAAGATATATAGGGTAATAATAGCCAGATAAGGGTCACGAGCCGTAGAGACGGTTGTAGGCAAAAGGAAGATAATATCACAGCCTGGAACGGCACCTCTGCCCCTGGCTGGGAAGCTCATATGGCAAGTCTTCATACGACAGACAGTCATGGAGCATCCGACAGGAAAACAGACGTGGTACAGACAACCCGACTGACCACTACCACCAAAGCTTCCGAGAATAGGACATTCGAAACTTGTATTAATAGCCAAAAACATGAAATAGTACATGCAGAACGATTTTGCCAAGTGAAGGAGGATGAAGAAGTCCGGATCTGCAATAATGTGGTGTTCCGCTTATAACTGCGCAATCAAGGATTTATACCGAAGAATTTGAAAACAGCTTAAACCTCAGCTCTATTGCGTCTAAACTGATCAGTTAATTGTTGCTCGATGGTTTGAAAATGAATTGGGGCCAACGTAATATAGGAATAACGAAGGGAATGTCCATTAAACCCAACCTGGGTAATTTCTAGCCGGTACCTTGTAGATATGCAGTAACAACATCATTTTAGTTAAGATGTTCCACCCAAAATGCAAACACGAGAACTTAATTCAAACATCACACCAAATAATTAGTATAGCATATATATATATTCAATTAATGTTGTTTGTAAAAAAAAGGATAAATAGACATTATGATATCGGCTCTAAAATATATAGAATACACTTAGTTTTGTTTCATTCCAGTTCAATATCTTGTCTTCCATATCTTTATCTTTACTCGTTTTGCCATCTCTTCTTACATTCAAAATCATATCTTCCTCACGATATCTCTTGTCCGTTTAAATTACAGATTAAATACATAATTTTACAAAATTGTGGGATAATTATCTACTAGAAGAAATTAACTCTGAGGTTTGACCTTAAATATTCTCCTTTTGGCTCTTTCAAGCGATGATACTTTGATCCGTTATCTAAAACGTATCCACCTATAAATCTGCAGCGTACTCCTATAAAGTAGTAAGAGATCAGAGCTTAAACCCTCCAAACCCTCCCTTCGATGTGCATTACTCCTATTCGACCCATATCTCTGGGCGACAAATATTTTATCTTTTTCGCTTTGTAATCACACAACTTGTATGCATTTAGAACTGCAGTGCCAGCAGTGAAATCTGTGAAGGTGAATCAAAACCCTGTCATATCTTTACCTCAGAGTCTTACCCAGTACAAATACGACAAAAAAACATAGAGAAGTCATAAAACTGCGGAACTGTCAAGGAAAAACGGGTTAGTGACCAATAGCTTCTGTACCTCACCCACATGATGCACATGCAAGCACTATGTTATTTTGGCTTTCGTGCATGATGAACATGCATGCTTTGAGGTTTAAGCTACGAGGCCACTTTGAAATACCATCGAGTTCCTATTCAAATAAAACGACTCCAGATTCGATATACTCAAAGACAAAAAAGAGAAGCTAGTAATATACAGCTAAATGACAGCAGCAACCCACGGCATGAAACAAGGGTGTAATAGGAGTTGACTCCAATAGCATTGCGATTTTGAATATCAAATATTAAAATATATCTTATGTCTTATAATCATGTGGATTATATTGTCGTGGGATTAAATGTAGAATAAACAACAACCATGATTAATGTAGTGTAGACTTATCTACCTAATAATTCATGTGTAAATTAAAGTTTAATTGTACGAAGTAAATTACATGATGACTAGAATAACAATTTGAGAAAATTGAAAAGTTGTGTTCATATCGTTCCACTTATTTTCTACATAGAAACATAGAAAAGTAATCCAATTTTGATTATAAAGCAAACTGTATAACATAATTGTGTTATTAGGATAGTAGACCCATCCCCCATAGATTGCATGATACATTAAGTTCCATTTCATTCCATATTAAATACACCATATCAAACAATACATATTTATCACATCAATGCCAGAAATAAGTGTAATTTCTCAAAGAGTCATGCAGAATCATTGCCTTTACGACTCCCTTACATCCAAAGTATAATCACATTGAGAATAAGGTAGGAAAAATCTCGAAGAAAGAATTGAGATCCTTCTGAAAAAACAATCGGGATGTTTCGCACCAGTTACTTACTTTTTCGAATCACAGCCGAGCTCAAATGCTCAAATCTATGCACGGAAAAGAATCATCGTGCTGCTGGAGCTAGTGGAGGTGCTGAGCGTTTTCATCGACAGGTCGTCTGTCCCCAACATCTGTAGCACAGATAAGAACATCGGAACGGCTGACTGCCACAGGTCTAGGACAGTACTAGTTCTAGTACTGGGTAGTTAAGCTGAATATTATTATTATTATTATTATTGGCAATTATCTTGTGGCTGGCGGAATGGCTTATCCAATTAAGACGGAGCAGTTGAAAGCCGTCGGTCAACGAGGTTGATTTTTGTTCTGAACACGCCTTCTCGCGGACCCATGAGCTCTGCGTTCACTGAACCTCGTTCGTTGCTCTTCTTTTCCTTTCTGCTTTCTTTGCAACTTTGTCCCTTTCTTGCACTGGAGTCTGCGACTTTGGTACTCCATGTCTTGTACAGCGTTGTTCTCTTTCCGTGTATAAAGCGGTCCACGAGCTACTGATGGTTCATGTTTATATTTACGTTCAGATGTCGTGTGATGGCATGCAACGTTTAGACTATGTGTAGATTTCGATAATATATGTCCCATTAGACATACCGAATTTTCACGAATCGCGGTGTACTTGGACGTGCCTCGCTGTGGAAATGTATTTTCCTTTTTGCTGGATATAATTTACATTTAATCTAGTAATCTCTATGAGAACGGTTCGATGGTTTGTTGGGCTTTATCTCCCTTGTTTTAGTCTTTGATCATGTCAGCAAACATTACAGCTTCTCTACCAAGATAAAGGAATTCCACTTTTTTCAATGAAATTATGTACGTACAACACATACTATTTTTTAAGTTTGTGCACGACGTTTTGGAGCAACATTTGTAGACGTCTGGTGTTATATTACGTGTAAACACCTTGAAGTGCATCTTACTCTTTGAAACACGTCGCCCAGTGACGATTTTGTGTAAACACGTTGAAGTGCATCTTACTCTATGTAACAGGTCGTCGAGTGACGATTTTGTGTATAATGTAACAATATGTCACATATATTAAATTAAAACATAACTCATCCACATATTTGAATCATATACAAACATTAACACATTGGGCTCGATGTCATGCGTGCACAAATGTTCATTAATGTATTCACACCAAGTCATAAAAAGTTTTTTACTAAAATAGTAACCACCTAATTTGAAATCATTTCAAAAAATTATAATTAGATGAACATGTTTAGAAATGAATATTTAATATATTACAAAGTTAAACCTCTCAACATTGTCAATTTTTATGAACGACATTCTCCCATAAGTGACATGAAATTCAAGAACCATTAGATTATATCTAGTAAATCTGTCCAACAATAACAATGTGTCATTGATGCCAATAGTGACATGATATTATACAATAATGATAGTTACAAGTGTAATTTTGTAAGTAGAATAACTATCATGATTACAATATAGAGACGTGAGGAATTTAATGTGGCAAATATTTGTGTGAGCGGCTAGTTATCACTCACTTAGGGCTAATTAGCTCTCACTATATTCCAAGATCTTCTCTGATTTGTAGATGAAGGGTTACAGGTTCCTCGGATGAATAGCAATCAAGGTAGGATGTAAAACCAGTTAGAGAATTGAGTATACTAGGGTGAGGACTAATTAGCCCTAAGTGAGGGATAACTAGCCCTCCCCATATTTATTTAAATGACCTCGGTAAAATACTTTGATACATATTGGATTTAACTCAAATCTTTGGATATGTATTTGTATTAGAACTCAATAATAGTGCCATCGTAGTCAACAATAGAATATAGCTAATGAAAGAAATTTTGCACCTAAGAATGGACTTATAGAATATTCTATGACATATGAAACATGCTACCAAAATGCCACTCACTTTACTTTTGTGAATAACATCTCTCAATAGTGTAGTACAACCTTAACACCACTGTATGTGACTATTGGGAGGTTCTATTCAAGGTTGCACATATTTCTCTTGTTGGTGACACCTCCCAATAATGACAGTCCAATCATAGCAACAATGTAACGTCACTATTGAGAGGTTATATTCAAGATTGCACACTATTCGCAAGTTAAACTCTAAATTTACTTAAATCCATTATATAGATTCGATAAAATAGAAAAAACAAATTGAAAAGTAATATATGTAGTTGAATAATCATGGTAGGAAAAAAGTAAATCCAAGTGCTCCTAGTTAGAGAACAGATATCTAGATTTTTAAGAGAAATTTACTTGATGGACCCATCTGAATGCTTGATGGGACCCAATACGTAACCTTTTACCCGATGACGGATCATTGTAAGTTATGTTCTTGTAACTGTTTTGTTTCCACTTCAATGAACAAAGAAATTCTTCCCGAAGTTAAGATAGTCAAATTTCCCATGGCTCCCAATCTTCATCATGCAAGAGCCCAATTTCTCGCATCCCAAAATTATTTTACAGTTAAAATGTATGGGTAGCTAAAACTCTTGGCCGAAGTTGCATATTTTGGTATGTGAAGTGCCTGCGGGGATTAGTCACTTTTCATCAAAGAGACGCAGTGCTTTTCCTAACCCTGAGGGTGGATTGGAAGGTACCATGGCGTAAAATATAGCGTATTGGGATTTACGCATTCTGATGGGGTCCATCAAGTAATTCTCTCAGTTTTTTAAGCCTACTAAATTTGTTTGAGATGTAGTGGAACGATGCAGTTTGTTTATGGGGTATTTCCAAAGCCATGTGAACCCGAGCGATTGGAAGTATGTAGCTTTCACTTAGGCTTGAGTCATTTTAGACACTCTATGTTGACTTCAAGGAGATCATAATTTAAGTTTATAAGAAAATTCGTGAAGTCTTTAGCCTCAATTGAAGAGAAGGAAAACCTGAGGTTCAAAGATGCCACCTTCTGCAACATAGAATAGAACATCGTAACATGCACGCCTCCTGTGAAAGTCAACAGAGGAAGGTTCAGCTGTACGCTTGGAGCAAACTTCACCAATTGAATTCTGTCCTCTGACATTCTGCTTAAAGCTGCTTGCATCTCAACCATGAAATATCAATGCTGCGTCATCGAGTATGACACTAATTGTAAATCTGATGGACATCAACTGAAACTGAGAGCTGCTTCAAAAGCCTTGGAAAACTTCCATCGAGAACGAGCCACGTCCTTTCATCGCCAACGATTATACGGATGGTCAGACTTTGCCCCCTCCCCCAGTCCTGCCAATACTGGCAATGCCCAGTTTCTGCTCATGCGATTAGAACACTTCGTCCCCGAACCGTTCAACATTCACGGCCATAGCCATAAACCTGACCAGCAAATCCAACGTCCTGGGCATGAAAATTGTTGAACTAATGATTGACATCTCCTTGCCGCCCTACAACGAAAGCAGAAACTGAGATATTGAGGCATTTAGGGCTTCCTCACGTCACTTCTCATTCTCCTCATACCTTCAGTGCTCAATTGAGTGAGGAACAAACAAGGGCCTGGAGTCGGGTCTCCAATCTGGCTCCTAAATAGAGCCAATTCTCGCTCTCGATCCGATCCTTGGGTACTTTGCTGATTCGCAGTGACAACCACGGCATTAGACTTGGAATAACACTACTATTGCAACAGAGTGTGTTCGCTGAAGCACTCACTCTGCTGCAATTGCCTCGAAGCAGGCTCCGGAGTTCATGCCGTGGTCGACAAGACTGCTACTGAGAGCAGCAGTCGTCGCTCGCCGAACCCAAAGGATACTATGGTTGACGCTCATATGGGTGAGTATCAAGGGTTTCGAGGCCACTTGATTGACTAATCAAGTGGGGAGAAAGTTCCAAGTTGGTGGATTGCATCTATACCCTGTAAACCAAATGTGTAATGTATTGACTCGTTAGAAGAACAAAAGTATCAGATGGATGTAAAAATCAAAATCCATGAAATTTAACAATATACAAATAATAATAATAGTTATTTATGATAATTGGCTTTTCTCTTATTTTATAAAAATAAGTAATTTCAATTGTATATATATAGAGCCTCATGCAAAATATAAGCGCAACTCAAAGTACGAAAAATACACATAATATCTCAATTTGAGGAGACCAAATTTAATAGACATATGCACTGTTTGCATATCAATCTCAAACTGTATACTCTTTGAAAAACGAGGAAGGACTGTGTGTGTGCCAGAATCCCGCAGGTGAATAATGAAATATGTAAATTCTCGTGAAGAATACATGACTCCAACGTTTCCTACCAGGAACAGATTCTCGGACAGACTTCCGTAAGACTAAACACGAAGTACAATCAGACTCGACCGATGTCGCTTCTACACGAAAGCAGGAACAATCAGTTCATATTCTGAGCTTTGTAACGGTAGCGCAGACAAAGGCATATCGATTCCGCATGCATTTCTTCGTGCAACCGCTGCCTTGATCAACGAGTCTACAGAGATTACGAACTTTGCGAACGATGAGTGTCATGCATGTCACTCGGTAGTGTTGGGAGGAAAACACCGTGCGGAAAATGTGGGAAAGTTCAACTCATCGATGAACCCCCTCTGTATTAGAGGTAATTCATCGATCGGCCCTTCTTTACGCCATGAAATTTGGTCACCATCGCAGAGCCGAATACTTGCTTGCTGTTTCCCTTCCCAGCGTACTCAAAAGTTGAATGGATTCCAGAGTCAAAATCACCAGCCTGCGCTGCTGATCGTCGGTTGAGATGTTTTCGTTTTTCAATCTTCAAATTCTCGAAATGGTTCCGCTATATGACATTCAACTCAGTGAGGTTATATAGTGCCCGAGGCTCATAATTGGGATGATTATGTAGGAAGAAATACATTGCATGAAAGTCTGAGCTGTACGTAGTTCATGTGTATCAGTTGACTTCAGGAACCAAGAATTGCACTCTCATCATCATCATTGTAAATTACTGTCGAACACTTGTCTCCTCATCCACTGACACGCACCAGCACTGAGATCATGAGAGCCTGTAAGAGAAGTGAGGCTCAATGTGTGCGGCACATCGATTGAACTGGGAGGGGCTCTGAACGTGTGGGCGGCGTAGCTGCTGCCTGTAACCCAAGCGGGAGTGAGAGAATAGGAAGCTGAAGCTGTGACTGTGAGCCGGTGGGATCACATGCAAGGGAAGGTCCTCTTGAAAGAGCAGCGATCTTCTCTCGCTCTGCACAGTCAAGGGATAGCGTTCACCCTCAGCCATGAGCTTCCTGCAATCGTTCTCTGTGCTGTTGAGTATATGTCTTTCTTTCTTGTACTCCAAGCGTCGTGAACAATCAGATGACGGGTTGCTTCTCTCTATACTATCACCTGGCTGGAGATGGTGATTTCAGTTTTTTATGCTGAGCTTTAACTTCTCTATTTGAACGTAGAGAAGAGAGAGATTATGAGGTTGCTTCTTGTGAGAGTAAAAGGCCTGACTGTCAGCTAGCTAGCCAATACTGACCTTAACCTTTAGTTGCAGGACACCTGCTACATGTTTCAGTCCCGTGCCAAATTCCTCTCCAGATAGAGTTTCAAATTATTAGAAATTTGCAGAGAAAATTACTCATGGGACAGTGCGAAAAACTCAAAACAATTGCTGCTACACAACACGTTTCATTTTACCCATGGGACCAACGCTGACTGCAATACAGGGTTCACCCTGTAGTGCAGGCATGTTCCAATAGGAGTTCTTGTAACCCAGTAACTTAGTAGTAACTTGAAACAAGTCAAAAAATGATTTAACCAAAAACTAGGCACTGGCTCCCAAAATGCAGCAGCTTCTCCACATGTATGGAGAGAAGCTCCTCCATCCATGAGTGATTACCAACATACCCGAATTTGGTACTCAAGTGCTAAAAAAACTGTTTCACATTAGCACAGTTCCAAATAAAACTAACAAAAATTGTGGATAATGCATCCATCCGCGAATCAATTATTACTTCCCATAACAGATGGACCTTTACGCATGGAAAGTCATGAGAATGGTAATATTAAAGCAGAGAATAGTCGAGAAAATTTTGCTCTAACAACTCTTTCGACGGTTTTTGGTGAACCAGGAGAGTTGCAATCGTTTGGATCGATTGTCTCGAATCATTTTTGAGTTCATTGATTTTTAACCGGGTTACAAGAACATGGGTGACGGTGGGCCGTCGGAGGGTCCCATCGTTTTCCGTCCAAAGACTGTCAGTAGACCCTTATGTATCTTCATCTACCTGCTCCATATGTAGACACTCGGAGACAGTAAGTACGATACTTGGAATTTAAATGCAATCTACGTGGTTCAGGTGCCTTCACACTTTTCTCGATTTAGATTTAGATGTATACTTTCGGTTTCAAGGAATAAACATAGGTGCTTGTTAAAGGGATGTATGGCCACGGTGGTATGTGGATCTGGAGTTGTCCCTTCAGTGTTGAGCCATTTTAACGTATGATGTGCAGGAGACTCTCTTACAGAGTTTCAAACAACAGGAGATGCTATACTCGTTTCCCCAAGCCTAGAGCTGGGCTTCGTGGCATGCAAGATATATGCAATGCAAAAATGTATAGACAGCTCATGGTGTTATCGAAAGTCAATTTCATCGCTAGTACGTTCAATGGGATGAGATTGACTTTGACATTCCAATACCATGTGAAAATTTCACTCTTTCGGAATTACATTGTGATGTGATCCAGGCGTCTTTCACCTGGATCACAGGTGAAAGACAACTCAACTGCCATCTCATCCGTCTCTCGAGCCATTCATTCATAAACAGGTCAACAATTCCTAACGTTTGTCTGCAATATATACACGTTCTACAGTGTCCTTGAAAGAAAGGAAACCCACATGATGCAAGAAGCCATGATTATTCACAGCTCACTATGCACCCATTGGGAATGATTCATACGAGGAAACCTGGAACTCACACAAGCTCAGCATTTTGGAACCTTCATGTCCTTCGTCTAAGGTCCAAGTCAATACCTTATACAAATCGACATGGACCTTAAGATAGACTGACAGACAGATAGATATACTGATATTGCAGACACAACCAATCATGTTCCACTCAAGACATGTATTGAAATTATGTCATCCGAAGTCGGTTAACTGCCCCACGGGGTAAGACCATGTGTCACATCGAGAGAGATCCTGACTCACGTTCGTAAAACGAAAGACAAGCCTTTTGATTTCCCTTTATTCATCCTTCAAACTTTCCTTCACGACGTTCAGGTTGCGTACTACAGATACGACAAGCGACTCAGCGAAGTATTGGAGAATGATATGGTTGTAGACTATACTTCCACAATTCCGGCTGACTAAACTTTCGGCCTTCAGCTTTGGGTGTAAACTATCTGTTCCGGGGCTATATTTCTGAGACGATCGCATGACGTGAAGCTCTGTAATTTTCCGAATGAGCGAGAGGTGTAGAAGACATAATGTTCCGACATGGTGCAATTCCCTAGGTACGGACAGAACCGTGCGTGCATGTTTGTTTTACTGTATCTGCATACTCCAACGGGTCATCGTCGCTGGTGCGAGGGGCTCTCATCGTTCGGAATCGACAAGATATAGGTTACTCATCTCGTAGCTTCGTCCACAGGTCATATCACCACAGATTTCAGTTCACGATCTTATCTCAAGTCTCCCTTCCCAAAATGCATAACAGTGCGCTGCATGTGAGTACCCTCCTCGGACTTCGCGTTCCCTATAAACCCTACTCTCAAAAGGCATTTCTCAAAGGCCAGGACAAAGTACGGTGGTCGACTCAAGATATGCTCAAGCCGTAGAAGGCCACCAAGTGAACGTTTCTTACAGGTTCAAATAAATGTTCAAATATTTTCGTTGTTCAGATGAGTATTCCTAGTATCTATGGACTGCCCTGATGATGTGCTGCTACTACCTTCGTCAGTATGCCTGACCTAACAAAATGAAGGATCGGGATCTCCTTTAGAAGAGACGCCTTTCCATACACAAGCATGCCTGCTTTTGTCGCTTGATCCTATCCCTACAGGAAAAGATCCCTACCACTTGCTCAAGCAAATCCAGCTACTACCTAGACCTGACACCAGGAAGAGTCTGTGGCTTTGGCAAGCTCCCGTCTCAAGTGGTCCAACGGGGATGTCTACCGACAATCCATGCAATGACCGCCAGGAAGATACATGCATTTCAACGAGCCTCTCATCACGGGAAGTGGTCTGACTGCGACGTTGCGCTCTCAAATCTATGGTGTCCCAGCCTGTTCTTCGATATGACCAAATCTAGATGTCTCAGATGCGGGCCTTGGGGACAATTGAGCACAACTGTTAACCATTATATTCATACAACCAGTCAGCCTTCCTCAGTCCAATCGTTGTGACAAAAGCAAGCATTTGTCACTGGAAGTTTGAGGAGTAGTCTCCATAATGTGCTGAAACCGGGAAAACAGAAAAACATCAGCCATGTTCGTTGTGAACAGGAACCAGGTCACTGCGTCACAGCAGTGCAGCCGTCACAGGTACATGACTGAAAGATATCCTCCTGACGATAAGTGACTTTCTAAAACATATAAAGAGTTTCCTTGATCTTCCATGGAAAAGAAATCAATTTATGCCTACATGACCACATGCAACAATGTGCAGATCTTTAAATGGTCCTCCATATTTCAAGGTGGTTCTAAGTAGTTGTGAAGCCAAGTATCGACTTGCCTTACATAGCTCCCTTACATACCTCCAGTCAAAGACTCGCATTGCCATGATCTTCTCTTCGAAGATGTAACCGTCTGAGGCTACAGTCAACTCCAACTCAATCTTGTGTACAGTGAGTGGCTCAGTTCGAGCAAGTTCCAAGCGGAAACTCGGCCATTTCCTCCACAGCCAACCTCACTGCTGCAGTCACATCCCCTATTAAGATGCGCCTACCAGACAAGTAAAGGTAACTGCGGGGTACAATCTACAAGCTACACTTCTTTCGGAGAGGTTGAGAATCAGCCCAATGACAAAAAATGTCACAAGCTGTTGTCTACCACACCTAACCTCTGGAGTGGAGATCAGCAGTGGAGTCAACTGAACTTTTTTTCCTCAATACGCAAGCTAACAGTTTGCTGTCAGATGCACTTGTGGAATGGACAAAAAGCTCAATACCTCAATTTATGTCACTGCTCATGTATTTGAGGATGGAGACCTTGAGCTATAAGTGCAATGGCTCTGCAGCACTGTAGCGGTAAGCTGCCAATTCAGATGCCTCCAGTAGGCCTGAGCCTACTGGCACTACTCTAAAATAAGACAATGTTGATCTCTTACATCAAATGAAGACCTTTCAGCATGCGTCCCACTCTTCCTCTATCACTCTCTCTCTCTCTGCACATAGTATACGCTTCCTTAGCCTGACTAGCAAGCCTCAAATGAAGTTAAATATAGGCCATTCTTTCACCTAGACACAATGCGGTCTAGAGCAGAAGAAAGCCACACTTGTAAAAACCTGGACAAGCCGCATTCTTATCTGTTTCCTGGAGGAGTACTATCCCCATTCACTCGGCTACCCTCCGCTCCAGCCCCTTGAGCCAAAGCCAGAATGTCGGGAGTTATTTCCCAACTTCCACTCTTCCGGCCCCAGCTAGACCGCCTGGGATGTGTTGTCCTAGTTTCACCATCACCCGCCAGGTTGCGGTCCAGAGGGAAGTTTTCGTCAAACCCGTCCTTGCTCTCCAATCCCAACTCACTTCCTGTACTAATTCGAGCGTGTAGATCCTCCGCACTTTCAGGACCAATCCCATGCTCTCCACCTATTTGCCAAGTCGCCTTCGATCCCATTTCCAAGTCACCTCCACCTTTAGAGACACTGGTGCCATGCATCTCTGCGCTTTCTCCTGATGGAGCGCTCATTGGATTTTGACCAAGTGAGTCCTGCTTCACCCTTGCACGAAATTTGTTCTTAGACGGAACGACTCTCGTGCAGAAGATTTCGCGGAAGTTGTTCATTACTCCCTGGTTGTAAGGATTCACTTTGTTATCGTAACGGTACCGAAAATTCTCGTAGGTGGTCTGCAGAATGACGGGACACGACAAGAATAAACTGAATCAGATAATACGATAAACATCACGTAACCAGAGTGAGATATACATACGAAGCGGTTACGAGACATGTTTGACGAGCGCATGACGACGACAGTGAATCCTGAGCGACTCTGCCCACAACAGGTAGCACGAAGGTTGCCCGAACAGGAGCTCATGTTATATACATGAAGACGAACTAAATAAGCGTCTAGAGACAGGACTCCGGATTTACCTGGTTGGTGCTGATGAGATAGAGATGGAATAGTGTCAGTCCACCCACAAACCAGACAGCAATGAAAGTGTAAACCATCAACACAACTGATGCTGGAGATTTCGACAAAGCCTTCCAAACAGTCTTCTCTTCTCCATCCATGAGGAACTTGATATACACAGCGCACATTGCGAAGACGTATATGCAGAGCATTGTTGTGAACGAAACAAACATGAAGAAGAAGCGATAGTTTCGCTGCAAGACAAAACCTACAAAGTTAGAAGTTCTCAAAGGTAACACTGCAACGTCAGCATACTTCACATAACAGGTGTGTAAAATTGAAGTTGTGACGGCGAATTCGTGTGTTACGTAGTGTGCATGGCGAAATATACTGCATCCTCAGCTAAACTGCCAGTTGTGCATTCCGGATTAGCATGGCTGGGCATTGAGGCACACCCACAGTTAAGAATTTCAATATACAGTTCCTATCTTGACATTATACAGTTCCTATCTTGACAATTTGTGAAACATACTTGTCCGATGCACTGCCCGACCCAAGGACAGTGGTGATCAAAGCGCTCCACGCAATTGTTGCAGATTGAGCAATGTGAACATCTCGGAGGCCGATAAAGCATGCAGGTCTCACAGTACTTTGTTTTCACTGCAACACCGTTGACTATCACGTCTTTCGTACGAGGCAGACGTAAACGGGGTGTCTGTCCTCCACCCCACTCAGCAGGTGAGTTCGCAGCATCATAGTCTTCATCTGGTTCGGGTGGATGCGCATTGCGAGGAATGATACCGGGGTCTCTGCCTGATGTAAGAAGCAAAAGAACCAATACCTGCAAGGTCCGACCAAGATGCGCGAGGAATAATGTGAGTGGATGTAGTGATAGATCAGTTACAAACATCCTGTGCTGGAAAAGCGACGCTACGCACAATTGAGCATACAAAACGGTTGCATGAAGCTCGTGTTCATTAATGCTGATCTACCATCCTAACAAAGGAGAAAATCTCCACAAAGACGCGAAAATCTTTGAGAACAATTTTGGCGACATGTACATAACATTGAGTCAACCACATGGAGGGGAAGGGTAGTCCAACTTACAATAGATGTAAACACTACAGCAGCGACAAGGATGGCAATGCCACTGTTGTTTTCAAACTTGTCTATCAGCTTGCGGGCAACAAAAACACAAAAGACCACCGCTGGTACTACAATAAGGAATACGGTCACCACCAAGGACCGGACATCTGGTCCAAATATTAATCTCCCACAAAGAAAAAACCTCTGCACATTCCAAGCATTCGAACCAAGATTAGCATATGAGTACAGAAGGTAGGCTTCATGATGAGAAGATAGATCAAAATGCACGTCTATCGCCCCCGCTCCTGAGAGTACAACTTGCCGCTATGGATATCCTTAGTCTCGTTCTACAGGATCACTCAATCCTAGACTACATGCACAAGCCGTATTGAACGCAGCATTCGTCGTGATGCTATCACAATGCTGGAAAGGTTCTCCTTGTCTTATATTATAATCACTAACAACCAGGAACATGATCGGGACCAGAGCGATGTGCACTAACGAGATACACTCTCGACAAGTACATATACCGCTTTGACCCTCAATACCTTAGTTCCTGAGAAGTACTCATGACGAAATCCGCCGTACAAAAATATAGCACTGCGGAGCACCTACCAAGCGTAGGCAAGGGCGTAGCCCAAGAGTCTTTGCTGGTACTTAAGGCTCAACAGCGGGTGCATCTCTGAGAGGAGATCTAGAAACGCACCAACTAAGACTTTCCACGCGAATGGGTTGAAAGTGAGGGAAAGCTTCAAGGGTAGGGTATGGAGTGGAGACGCTGAGCTTCCCGTCAAAAAAAGACACTGGGCCACCTATCTCAAGTTTCGAGGTGACAGCTAGAATGAGAACAGTCGTTTTTTCAATCTACCACAGCCAACTCTCTTGCACAAAGTCTAGACTCCACATCTGGAGAGAACAAACATTCGCAGACAAAGAGGAGATCAGAGGCATTAATGCGGAAGAAGTAAGAGGAATTACATTGCTGCCTTTCCACACTTGATAGACACGCTTCGCCATAACAGTCTTCTGTGTCTGTTTCTTATCGTCACCGACCCAGCCCGCAGAATTTATAGCCATCTCCCCTAGTAGACGGCACCGTCACCCGTAAAGTATCAATCGCTAGCTCTCAATCCTCTACTCTATCTAAGACCACCTTATTAGGTCACTACTGTCCGCGCGCGAGTCATGTTCCCAACATCGTACTCCTGCTTTGAATGAGAGGGGCTCCTTTAAAGACTACCAAATTTATACCCTGCAGCCACTGCTTCCTCCAACAAGCCCAAGCAGGGTCACAAGGCCATGTAAGGAAGCTCAGGCTCGCGTCCGAGTCGAGAAGGTCCCGCTTTAAAGTACCACGCCCCTCCACAGGTTCTCTTTCTCCGAGGAAGCAAAGAGCCAGTAATCCAGTCCAGAATGCCTTGGTGAGTACATACTTGAAATACACTGATTCCCCATCACGGCCCTGTAATCGAATGTCCTAACCATCCAGAGCAGCAGTCCTGTTCCTCAAATGATGCCTCCACACACATGCAGGCAGCATCTTACTCCCTACCACCTGTGGACAGAAACTCACGTTAGGCTACACGCACCGGTACCAGGAAACAAACACAATGTGCGTGAGCAGCGAGCTAGAAACAAAACGGGAACACTAGAGAGCAAGACGGAGTCCTTTCGGAGAGTCAGGAAGCGACTGGACTGGATATGCCGACTCAAGAGACATAACTGAAACGAAGAGGAGGAGAAGGCACACTACGGAAAGTGCGTGATTTAGATGAAACAGGTGGACCCAATCTCGAGAACCCGCCGACAGACAGGAAAGCAAAGTAGTGAAGGGCTCGAGGAGAGCAAAGATCGTTTCAGGGCCCTGGCGGTCGAGGAGTGGTGAAAGGGAGGATGCTCAGAGCGCAATCGAGGACACGAGAGGCAAGAGAGAGGGAACAGTACTGGCTCGATCGCTGCCCTAGCGCGACCTCGGACCACCCGCACGGGAATCCGAGTATGGCAGCGACGATAGCTATGCACGACAGACACATTCGGCAAGGCGAGGCAAGGCAAGAGGAGGGAAGAAAAGGAGGAGGTCACACATGTCTGATCTTCAACAAATCGAAGCCCTCTCTTGGTTCGGCGAGGGATATCAAATCGCTACTATCGTCCAAAACCCCGTTCCTGACCTCTCGCTGCTTGCTCCTCGACAAATGCCCCGCCTCTCCCCTACATCGGCTCACCCTGTCGTCTCCAGCAATCGCAGAGAGAAGGAATGAACAATCTGAGAACTCGCTCCCCGCGGCCACTGCCCTGACACACACAACCCTGCCCTCCCTTGCCTTGCCTCCCCTCCCCTCCCCTCCCCTTCCTCCCCTCTCCTCGCTCGCTCTCGCAGTTCACTGGCAGAGGAAGAAACGCGCGACGCAGTGGCGCGCAAAGCAAGGCTCGAGGCTCGCTCTGAGGCAGGACGGGCGAGAACCCCCAAGCAAGGGCGAATGGCAAGCAAGCTGGGTTCTCCCCCTATGGCTGGGATGGGCTGGGCCTGGCAGGGTTATGGGCGGGTCGTCGCCACCGGGCTCTCTCTCTCTCTCTCTCTCTCTCTCTGCTCGAGCCAGACAGCAGGAGGACGAGGAAGACGAAGGCGCAGATGATGGAGGGGCGACGGGGGGCAGCAGAGCAGCAGAGCGAGCAGCAGTCTGGCTTCGGCTGGCCTGGCTGCCTGGCTATGGCGGACCTCAAGCGCGAGCCCAGCGCACTGCTCCGCACTGCACTGCACTGCACTTGCCCTGCCCTGGCCTGCCCCGCCCCGCCTCGCCCCGTCCCGTCCTGCAGGCAGCCGAGTCCCCGACCACAATCTTCACCCGCCGCGTGGCCGCAACAACAGCCTCCTGCGCGCGACGAGAGTACCTGCCGTCCCCCGTCCCCTCCCCGAAGACCGCACTTTCAAAAGGAAAACGGACCCCGCTCTCCCGCCTTTCCTCCGCTCTCGCTTCTTTCGTCCGGCGACCAGCAGCTCTCGCTCCTCTCCCCTCTTACCGTTGGGCTCTGCAGGTCATCGCGTCCGATCTTGGGGCCGTCCCGATCCTGCGACGGGCCATCCCATCCCGTCCCGTCCCGTCCTGTCCCGCTGCGGCTCTCCGTCCCGGGCTTTCCTGCACAGGAAATTGCGTCAAGAAGGCGAACAGGAGAAACGAGCGACTGTGCGCGGACCGACCGACTTCGTCGTCATCGTCGTCGTCGTTCTAGTCCTGTCACTGTGTGTGCATCATGACGAATGGGGCGTCCGCCGAAATGGCGAGAGATTGGAAGGAAAGACTCGAACCTCGACGAATCCGGCGGATCGCGACTACCTACCTGTTCTTTCTACCGTCGGGTTTAGCTCGCCGGGGCTGCCATCGCCTTCTGCCGGCACAAGGCGCGCCCGGCAGAAGATGAACTGCGCTCGATGCTCACTCCGACGCCGACGCCGACCACAGTCCGCTGCTGCTGCTGCTGCGCGCGTGGACCTTCGCTCACGCCATCCATCGATCGATCGATTGATCGATCTTTCGCTCGCTTCTTTCGCTTCCTTCGGTTGCCTCGCTCCCGGCAGCGGGAGGAGGACGACGACGCCGAAGCCGAAACCTCGGGGAGGGAGCGAGGGAGGGGGGGAGGCCTGGCTTGCAACTGCAGCGCGGATGGGAGGGAGCCAGCATGAGCATGAGCATGAGGCCGAAGGGGCGAGCCCTGCCATGGGCATCATGCCCCGCCTGCCACACGCCAGCTTGCAAGCCGGCCTGCGCGGGTGGGCACCCCCGCCCGCTACCCGCTACCCGCTCGCCGGTGGTGCGACGCTGTCTTAACTCCTGACTTGACTTGACCAGACGACCGAGCAACCGACTGGGTTGGCTCACGGGTACGGTCGCTCCAGAGTCCGGTGATGGGTGATCGGCTTGGACCAGGCTGGGCAGCAAAGCCGTCGTCGGTAGCATCGCCATCGTGCAGTTCGCCCGGGCCCGGAAGATCGCCTCCAGTTTGCCAGTGGGGTGGATTTGGCGCCCCCGCCATCGTAGCTGCCGCGGGCGACTGTGCCCGAGGCCCCGAGGCACACTTCTCCTTGCTGGCTGCCTCCGCGACCGAATCTTCGCTGGGCCCGGCCCTCGTGGGGCCGCGCGGCCTTGTCCTACCCCCCAAATATTGCCACTTTGCCATTCCCGCATGAACGCCCTCCCCTTCGGCCCCTTCGCCCTTCGCCCTCCCCCTCCATATTCACCCGCGTCCATGGCATGCATCCAAAATTCTCCGCGCCTTCGTCCACCACTTGAGATTTGTACGCTCGTACGAGCCCTCGGGGCCCAAGTTTAGCTTATAATTATCCACCCGAGCGCCCCTAAATCGGCCCTCTTCGTTGTCAAATCGAACTGCCCACATGTGCCGACGTGAGAAAAGCCAGGGGAGGGTTTCGGGTGTTTTCTATCGCACTCCCATCTACCATAGCTCATGATTATGCTCATCAGGTTACGTCTCGTTTTGTCATCTTTGCTGTCCTCCACTTGGGCTGCTCCACTTCCGCATGTGCATTTTTTTTCCGCCTTCGTGTGCTGATCTAGAAGCCAGTGTCCCGAGGTGCGGTCATTGCCCTACGCCAGAATCCAATATATTCCCATCGGCCCAATTCCTCACCAGGTTAAAAGAAAAAAATGGACACCAAGTCACTTTGCAAAAAGGATGGGAAGACCCCATCCAGAAGTACGTGGTTCAAACCATGGGGGATTCCTCGACAGATGTACAGTATTCATTTCGGCGGTTCGGTCATTGGATTGATTTGGCGACCCGTATGATGCAATGTCAAACGGGACCAAACTAGATTTTTCCGCCACCGAATGAGGTCGACATAGAATTGGGCAAGTGTATGCTCTATGTGATCGAGTCCAAAGCCAACAAACTGGAGTTAGCAGCGGGTCGGAGTATGTTAAGGTGGTATATTTGATTCTTATACTCCTCACGTCCTTCGGACAAGTAGAATCATCGTTGATCTTCCAAGGCCCAAGAGGAATCGGCCATTTGTGTGACATGTTCCGTCCATGCAGTTGTTGTCTCTGGGAGATTCTAATATTCTGCATCAACTGATAAAATACGAGCACGCCCACGAAGTTGTCCCCACCAGGAATGGAACGCATCCCACAGCTTTGCGTCTTGGGTTTCACAAGTAACTGGAGTGAACCTGAATCCTACAACTCGTTTTTGCGCTGCAGATATCTTCCAAGTCAACGGAGATCCAAAACAGCAGAACTACTGTACATGATTTCCTTCATTCCCAAATCACACCACCGAAAGAAATGCTTTTCAAAGTCAATCGTCTATTCTTACACTTCTGGTTGTTTGTGGTAGCCATTGACATGCGAAAGAGGCGATGTGCTCTTGACTTGCAAAAGCATGAACTGTGTGACTTATCTTTAGCAAAGGCTGAGCTCTCTCCCCCAAATTGGACTGTTCCTCGAGCTCTCCTCACTGATTCTAGCAGCTGTGGTTCTGTCACCATTAAAAACAAAATAAAAAAGGTAAAGAAGAATTTCTTATCACCTGAGATAGACTCTAATGATGAATCAAATGTCTTCAGAAGCCTTACCCATACCCCAAGCGACATGGTTAGAACCAGGTGTGTAGTACGCTTAACATGATCCTCTGGTAATGTGTACTTTCTAACGGGTTACGTGTACCAATAACACGACAGTGGTACAATGCTTGATCCGGTGGAATCCTGATGGTACACATCGAAATTTTGAAAAAAAAACAAAAGAAAAAATATTTCCATCTCTGAATTGCAATTTGAAAATATTCTGCACTTGTGGTCACTTTTACCACTGCAGTTACGCTTTGCTGACGCGGGCTCGAGGGTACGAACTGAACCATATCTTGCAGTCTTTCGTATTATAGAGAATCCCCGACGAACAGAGTCTTGGGCATATCTCAGTGAAGCATGGAGGCTGATGATGCTGTCACCTTTACGCAGAGCAGATAAAAAAGATTATTTTTTGCTTATCAAACACTAAAAGCGAAGAAAGAGTCATATTCGTACAGCAGAATAACAGAAAGTGATTCTCGAGGTGCTAGTCTAGCTGAGTTATTCTTCCTTTCGACTTTCTAAACAACTGAACATGTTCATTCTCAATGCCGAGTTACAGTGTGCTGTCTTTCCTGGAGAAAGCAGGTGCGACAGCAATGACACGCTTTCGACACCTCAGATAGCACCGGCCCCGCCGGAGGCCCTCTCTTCACTACGCTCTGGCTTTCTAGCAGATCGCAAGGAGCAATAAGGAAAGCAAAGTTCATGATGAAGGCCATCATTGTGGTTGCTGCTACCAAGCCTGCAGGGTTTGAGAGAAATCATCATCTGCGCCAGTTCGCACAAAATGAAGGTCGACACTTTGGCAAAAGAACGGGGCGATTGTCACAAAGTCGATCGAAATTATTATGAGGTCGGGATGAAAGTGCCCGACTTGTCACAGCGCGGGATGAACCTTCGCATGGCAGGATCAACAAGAACGAACTTAACCGCTACAGGTGTGCATCCGAGTCACGCAGAATCAGGGATCGCTGGACCAATGCACACCAGCCATGCACTGGTCCAAGAGCAAAGCACAATTCCAGTCCCAGTCCAAACAATCAAGCAACAATTGTCTCTTCTCGTCCGACGTCTCTGGAGGGAACCCCCTTCTAAACATCTCCGAAATAGCATATCCTCCCCCGTAGCAGGTTTCAGAATTTCCCGATAAGAGACTCCGCCATCGCATCGTCGTGTAAAGCATCGCTACGGACAAAACCATCTTACATTCCGGTAAAATCACGTTGACCTCGAAGCTCGAGACGATAGACGATTCGCGGATAATTCGTAAATCCCTGTAGCCCGCTTTTTCCAGGAGGCTGGCAAACGCCAAGGTCGTGACGGCCCAAGGAGCACAACAGATCCGTCCCTCGAGAGTGTGGTCACAAATAACAACAATTATGCAATCCGCCAGCACAGGAGCATCACCCGCAATGAAGGTCAGCAGGGGAGGACCCCGTTCTCGACAATCATCGCTCGATTTTTTCTCGAGCCGAGGATCCTTTTTCCGAATGCATTACGTTCCGGCACCCGGTGACAGTGGAATATCTAAAGGGGCTCTACTGACACCACTTTTCGTGAACGCCATGCAATACCACCGTCCTTCAGAACGCTCATCTGAAATTCTTTCTGATGTGGATGTGCATCTGATCTGATGAACAATCCTCCTCAGTCAGCAAGCGTCGAATGGCATCGCATGCCGAGCTGTGAAGCAAAGTTCATCCCATGTCCCATGTTAGATTTAGATTAGATTTTAATATTTTATTATTCCCTGTGTTCAGAACATGATTAATTTTTGCAGAAGATAATTGTAAGCAGAGTAGCTGATCGTAGGTTGAGTTACACATTGGGGTAAAGGTTGTTAAGTATCGAAGATGCCTCTCGCCTGCTTACTTTTCACCGCACAGTTGAGGCCATGATTACAGCGCATCCTTTTTGTTTCTCGTGTGGTCAGCCCCCGAGAGTTGTCCACAGAGGACGAAGTCAGTGCCGAAGGGCGGAAAAACAGATAAAATTTCGTCACGAAGACCATTTCATACCTCAAAAGTTTGAGGTATGAAACATGTTGAAAAGGTTTGCAATAAACCTTGACGCTTTTTCTCACCAGCTCTGATCAGATTGTGTAACATTGTCCTGCTGCATGTTGAGATTTATCACGCCACAGTAGCATGAAAAGATACAAATGGATGTCTACGTAGATGATTTTTCAACTGACATTGTAATATCATAATTTGAACTGTATGAACGAAAGAGATAAAATCTAAAAATTATATATTATTAAATCTGTTCGGAGAGCAACTGACATATATAATCATTAATATTCTAATCTACATGTAAATTACTTCAAATATATTTTTAATAAAATTAAAAGTGGAATAATCCGAAATACTTACAATTTATAGAAGAATAAACTTATTAATTTATTGTCAAATTTCAAATTACAAAATTACTTCTGATGTATTACATTATTATTTTTCTTTCATTCTTTGTATTCCAATGCTTTATTTTCTTTCATTCATTTGTATGTACCAAGAGAAAATTTATGGTAGTTCAATAATAAGTCATTAGAAAACATAAATTGTAACAACAAGTACTTTATTTGCTAACTTGTGTGGTCAATATACTACAGGGTTAACAATATAGAAGATATGGTAGAAATTTTCTACGACTCATTTAACTTTTTCAAGTTGGTACAAGAGCTTGCTAGAGTTTATATGATGATTAACTATTTTCAAATAGTATCTTCAAACTATTTTTTCATTGTGCAATTGAGCTTGCTGCAATACATTTGATGATTTTTTTCCTTTCGAAGAGATAAATTCTACAATGTTGTAAACATTTGATTGGTTCTAATTCATAGAATGATTTCAACAATTTACAAATAAACTTTTCTTGATTCTTATTTTCAAAATTAATTTTTTATCTCATGAAGATTTTTTTCTTTTAAATTCCATAGAAAATTAATGTAATTACATTCATCTCATATATAAACACATCTAATTTTGCAATTACACATATAGTCAAATAGTAGCATATTTTGCTACAATTGATATTATTTTGTTGTAATCTACATTTATATCTTTTGAGAAATCTCTAGCCATTAACTTGACTTTTAAAGAAAAAAAAATATAATTTATTTGATTGTCATTGAGCTTGTACATCTTGAATTCTTGCAATCATCATTAACTTCTATGCCTTAGTATTTATTTATAACTATATCACACTTCATATCAGCATTTTATTCAAGTTTATGAATAAACTTGTGAGCAGATACATGATTCTTGCCATCATCAATGCTTGTGAAAAAGTCTCATGATTTTTTTCATAACAATTTCACAAAAACAGTTAAATTTATATATTTTGATGAAATAATAAAGCTTTAATTTTTTATGTACCACATGAGAGAACTAAAATTCTTTATCATTGCATAGATCTATATATACTTTTTTGTCATACATCAATAATTATAATCTCATGAACAACATTGATGCTAAAAACATATTTTTATAAAAATAATAATTAATTATAATTAAAATAGAGGTTGTTTAATCTTGAATACAATAGAATATAAATAAATATCTATGGTGTCATATCTACAATATTTTAAATAATTGAGTGTGTTAGTTAATATATTAATTGAAAACGATATGTTATCAATCCGTGTACTTGTTAGATAAAGATTGAATGTGCTAAATAATTTGTAAATTGAAATTATAAATTATCAATCCATGTTTTTGTTAGATAAATATTTCATGTGCTAGTTGAAAATAATTCATTATCAATCTCTATGTTCATTAGGTCAATACTTCATGCCACTATTTCACTAAGGTATAATTGAATGTTGGGAATAATACATTATCTTTATTTATGTGTTTGAAATAACTATATAAAGATATAAGAATTTTTTTTAATAATTGCAAATTTTGTTCCATCTTCAAATGAGATTCTTTTTAAAACCACATTAGTCCAATTTAAATTTTTATTTTTCAATTGTACAATAATAATCTTGTTTTTTTATCATTTCACATTCATGATAATAAAACTAAAATGTTATAACGCTCTTAAAATTTAATACAATCTATCCATCACGTATATTGTATTAAATCAAATAATAACCTATCGTATATGAATTACATGTAAAATTAAATGTTTTTTAATCATCTTAAATATTTTTGAAGAGATTGATCATCAATTATAATATCTTATAATGAAAACTAAACATATATGCTAATAAAATTTAATCCATTTTTATATAATCAAATGGTTACATAAAATCAATATAATTTACATACAAAAAATTAATCCAAATTAAATTTCAGCACAAAAATGAAGCAACACTTTCCCAAATTTAGATTTTTTTTAATACAATTTTGGATAATTGTTGTCATCATAAACTAATTGACTTTTACATCTATACTAAAAATATAGATGAAAAATCCGAAGCTCAAATTTAAAATGTTAATCGTTACAAAAATTGAATCATAATTTAATTGATGAAAACATCAATTTTTTTGAAAATTTTACTAAAAATTAACCATTTACATTGCATAGACACATATTTGATATAAAAGCATAAATTATCTTTCTAACTTATTATTTTATAATATCTTTGTGTGTATCATATTTATTACATTCAATTGTGTTTATATAATAAATCTTGTTTATCTTTTAATATTACTTTCAAATTTTGTTCAACAATTTTCTTTTTAACTACTTTATCACATTATAATATGAGCAATTCTGAATAAAAATATTGAATTTTTAACTACTTATTTAACCAATTTAAAATTCTACAAACAAAAATATACTTTTTCAAATACCATGTTTTAAAATTTTAATCACAAGACTAAAAACATTCATATTATTAAATTTATTATAATAAATCATTGAAAATAAACACTTATCTTTTTAATTTGATTTTTTATCAATATATATGTAACAAATTGTTTAATAAAAAAATAATTCAATTGAGTCAGATTTTTGATTCAATAGATATTCAAAAAAATTCAATGCTTACTAATTACTCGTAATAAGAACACAAAATTCAGATTTTTTCAAATTTCAAATTTGTTTCAAAGATTGAAAATTTTTGTACAATTCTTTTTCCCAAATTTTATGAAAATGATTTGAAACTTTAATCTAGAATTAACTTAACATAAAAATCTATGTAAAATTCAAATCAAATCTTATAGATGTATTTACAATAATCTCAAAAATATTCAAAGTAGTAACATATGTCTAAATTATATACTAAATTTTGATCCAAATTTTAAAACTTTTTTAGGCGTTTTGTTTTTTCCATATTTTATTAATTATATAATTATTTTTTGTGTTTATATTTGTTGACATCGACTTTTGATATTATTTTTTTTCATGTTGGGAATAAAACCTTTTTGTTCATCTAACATACTATAATATGTTTTCAAATTTATTTTGCATGACCATATATTTTTTTCTTTATAATACTTATTTATCTCATTTTTTAAAACTAAATATTTGTCTTGCAATATTATTTGTTTGACATTTGATACTTATTTGATCCTCGTTATTTATATTGCAATTTAATTTTTTTTCAAGTAATGAATTTTTATGAAATTCTCAAAAAATCTGTTTCATTTTTTATATCATCAATATATATATATATATATATATATATAGCCATTTTATAATAATTTATATCAATCATTGTACAAAAAGTTCATATAAGTTGTTGTATCATTTTTTTCATCTATTATTACATTCAAAATCTAAATCACTTTGATTAATTGTTGCATTATTATTCTATATCAATTGCATTTGTGAATTTGACTCATTTTCACTTTTAAATTCCAATTATTTTAATTTGGAAATGATGATATAATTAATAGTAATAATTTCTAATATTGTAGTAATGATGATGGTGATAAATATTTAATTTTATTTAAAAGCTATTTTTTCATAAATTGAGTCATAAATTATTTTTTATAGACTTGTGTGTTTTATAAAATCAGGAAAAATGTAACCATTAATTGACATCTAGATTTGAAAGTTAATAAAATTTGAGAAGCTTCAAAAACTTGTAAATAGTAAATTAATGCACACATTTCGAGGAAATTTTCATTTATATAATTAATAAATTATAATATAAAATAATAATATAAAAAACCTTAAAATTTATATAAAAAACTGAAATAATATAATATTGTTTAAAATTATATCAATCAGTAATAGTTGGATCTGCTTATGACTTTTTTGATTTTCATAGCTTTGTGCCATCATATTTTATTTTTATTCAAAATATATATTTTTTATGATTATTTTTAAATAGATATTTTTTAAATTATTAATTTTTTTAATGAAATGAAATAAAAATCAATTAAAAAAGAGCAACTTTGTGATATAAGATCACAAAGTTTCAAGCATTGTGTGTTTGTACTCATTGTAGTTATTAAAAATGAAATAATTTTTTGAAAATTTGTGTTTTTTTTAATATTTTTTTTATTTATTATAGTTGAACATATATCTAAATTTGATATGCTTAATTTCCTCTTTTGGGGTTTAAGTTTCAAAATATTTGATGTAAAAAAAAATTGTATGGTATGTACAACAAAGAAATCTGAAAATTTAAAATTATTATAAATAAAAAAACATATATTTTAAAAATTTACATGCAAGATTTAATATTAAAATTTTGAGTTTGTGATTAGATTCTCATTGCAAGCTTTGATCAATTTTTTCCTACATATGACGTTAAGATTTAGTTTTGTTCAAAATATTGATAAAATAGAAAAACCTTTACTTTTTTTGCATTGCGTCAAATATTAAAATTTTTATGGCCAAAATAGAGAAAAATAAAATTATTTGAAAAAAATCAATTTAATTATTACATTTCATTGATATTTTAAAAAATTCAAAATGAATTGTATATTTAATGCAGCTTTATGTAATGTCAAATAATTTTTGGGCTATTCAAATGATTACAATAAGTAAGATCATATGTACACTTTAAAGTTTGGTGCAAAAGTTGAAATAAGATTTAAATTTGAGCTTTTTAATAAAACAATTAATTACATAATTTTATTGATAGGTTGTGTTTAGGTTTAATGTGATTGAGTCATTGTGATAAAAATAAATAACAAGTAGAAGATCAAAGCACATCAATAGCATATAATCCATCATCATCATACAACTTACTCAGTCTCCAGAACGTGCAACCAACGCCCAGGCCTCCAGTTCTACTCGTTTTCACCGAATCGCTGATGCCCTGAAGTGCCCTATGGACCTGATCACGGCCCCAGTCTCCCCGTCACAAAGGAACCATGAACGAGATCTATCTCGCTACAGTGTGCAAAGCAAAATCACCTGAACCGTGAATAATTTGCCCCCGAATAATTGTTTTGATGACGCCCTACAGTGACCCCAAACTGCGGGCTCCGGGAAATGTGTGATAAAATTATTGAGTTAATCAATAGTGATAATAAACCCATTATCATTTATAACAATAATAAGAAAATGATTGTTCTAACAAGTATCTCAAGATATCAATCACACTAAAGTTGTTGTATATGAATAAAATAGATTCACAATAGTATCGTGTTTCTATATGAGTAAATTTTATCATGTTTTGGTAAATATTGCTCTAAATAATTTTATTTTTCAAAGTAATTTATGTTATATATGGTTTCAAAAATATTTTCAAACTATCCATATGAAATATGTTAATTACAGATTACAATACATGAATTCAAACTCAGGTTGTAGAAGTTAATTTGAATTACCTTAAACTTATTTTTGTGTAAATATGATTGATAAATTCAATAAACAAGCCTTATGTAACAAAATGGGTAAAATTATTCATGACATATGTACACTTTTTTCATAATATACATAAATATTGATCCATAAATATGTGAATTTTTTTTATTATGTTGAAATTATTTATCAGTGTGAATATATGTTTATAATAATAGTTAGAAAAAATTAATTTAAAAAATATATATTTTTTCATTAGTACTAAATATGCTCAAAAAATATTTGATCACTATGATTAGATGAAAAAATGTTTTGGATGTGATTACCCCAAAAACATGTTTGACTTAAGATATTATTTATTTGAAAAAAAGATTTAGCATATTTTGAGTAAAAATGCATGTCAGATAGATTAATATATTTTTATATTTTATTTTATATTTTATATCATAATTATTCATTTATTCAATTTTTTATTCTACAAAAGCTTGTATGGTTTTTTATTTGGATCAATAAAAAACATTAGATCTTATTACAAAACAGAAAATGTATTATTTTAATTTAATATTTAAATTTTAAATTCATTCATAGATCAAATTTACATCATTTAAGGCTAATTACGTAATAAAATGACAAAATAATTATTCTAAATTGCAATGCATGTTAAAAATACATGCATATATCTTAGATTACAAGATATACGATTAAAAAAAAATGATTAAGAAAATGTGATGTTAAAACTTAACTTTAAGGATATGTTGTTATATATTTGGAATAAATTAGTTGATCTTGAATGTCAGAAAACAAAACAAAAAGTTTCGTAATTAGTCCACAATTTTGATTGAAAATTTCAATTTTTCGTATTGGCTGGTCTCAAATTTGTATGAATTATCTTATTCTTCTACACATTATTTCTTTGTTTCATGAAAAATTCATTATAATTATCAACTTAATCGTCCAATATTGGCCAAAATTAGGCAAGAATTGCAATACATCTTCGCCATGCATATTAGTACGCATTTAAGCATAACCAAAGCCAACTAATCAAAGAGATGCTTCACGCCTAAAGACGCCCCGGCGACTCTTTGTGAGTAACAGTGACATTCGCACTTTTTTAAACACATATGGAAATGATGACAGAGATCATAGGTGTGAGTCATGGAAATCACTCATTGAGGTACATTCATCAACCTTCTTCATTCATACATCTCTATATAATAAATCTGTGTAATATGGAGATACGCAGTGTTATTTGTAGTTTATGCAGCTACATATATATTACAACGAGAAATAGTTAAAAAATAGTAAACCATATCTCTAGAATCGTAAAAACACATGAAAACTCCATGCATCAGATGCATGCAAGAAAAATGAACAGTCATCTCAAAGACGCTTAACGGAAACTGACAAATACATTACATTAAATCGCAAAGCGTAATAACTCCAAGATAACTATCGGTTCATCGATGAGGGTATTGATGAGGCCTTCCGATTCCTTTGTCCATATCAGTCGGGCACCCGTATCGGGTTACCAATCTATCCTATAACTTCCATAGGCCTTTCCATTCCAGGCCGGGCTGCCCTCCCCAACGGACCTCGCCCGTGGACGCGGGGATTGGCCTCCCCCGGTCCATCATAAAGAGGGCACCCAGGCGTGGAACGCTTTTTCCTCGCGCCCGTTTACTGGAGGACTTCCATCAAGACCTTCCTCTGCGCAGGGACCGGACTCCGGATCGCATGCGATCTACCGCTCAACGGACCGGGCTTTCGACCAGGGTTAATGGCCCCGCTCGCAGCGTGGTGAGATTTGACCGGAGGACGACGGGCGGAGCACCCGAAGCGCGGACATTAACCTTGCAGCCGTGTCCGGCATCCGGATAAAGTACAAAGCAGCCCTACTGCCCTAGAATTAGGTCCCCTGGCGCAGTCAGTCAGGCAGACAGGCAGGCTCCGGTAGAGTAGACCGGAGGTGCAGGTGACCAACGTAGGTCAGACCTGGGTCGTTTCGGAGTAGCATTAGAATAAATCCGTTCACGCACATCGCTCCTGGCAGGGGCTGCGCGGGTGAGCTTTGTCGGGCTCTGGTCGCAGAGGCCGGGCGAGGTGGAACCCGGACGATAAGGCAGAGCGGGTCGGAGGAGGAGGAGGAGGTCGCGTCTTGTGGTCCACACGATGCGGGCCAGAGAGGATGGGACTGCGCCGGGCTCGGTTGACCGCGAGCCGTGTTCTCCGTGCGCGTAACATTGACTGCGGGGTCGGTGGGTCATGAACATGCGACAGACGCTGCGCGGTGTGACGGACCGAGCACTCCAGCGCCGGAAACTTTTCCGCCGCTGGCCGGGAGCCGAGCCGGAGTTGCGTCGCTCGTACAGCCGGACGGCCGGATGGGTTCGGTACCGCAGACATGATCTATGGCAGATTCTGCAACGAAGCCAGAGGGAGGCTTTCTTCTGGTCTTTATGATGCATCGTCGTTGTCGTCGTCGTCCTGGGCCAGAGGAGAACCGAGCTCGTCCTGATATGATTGCTCGTCCTTCTCTATCCATCCACAGAGAACCTCGGCCATTTAATAGCAAATGATTCGAAGCGTTTCTGCTCGAGATTCGTGGACAACTCATTTTTTCTCACTGGATCGAGATCTTCGATGTTGGGCAAGAGATTCAGGGATTTGGAGTGTCAGAGCGAGGGAAGACCGTTCCTCCTCCTCCTCTACCTCCTCTTGGCAACAACGGAAGAAAATTGTGCAGAAAATGGTGCTTTTCCTCGGTCCTACTTTATGGCACATGATATCCGCAGTGGTCTCATGCAGCTCGGGTTTTAATATCTCCTCTCTCTCTCTCTCTCTCTCTCTTTTTCTTCCGTAACCATGTACTCCCCAACAACCTTCTTTTTAAATTCATGGGAAAGAATGCACCTCCAGTTTCACAAATAATTCCTTGTGTTTGGACGGCTCCCGAAGAGCGTTCTTTCGACGAGGACAGGGGCAACTTTCTTTCGAATGCCCGTGGAAGTTAGACGATCGATTGGACGCTTGCCCGACTTGACTTGTGAAGACTTCCGTGACATCTATGACCTGGTGCGTGGAGGCTCACTAAGGGATGGAATGGAATGGAGACAAGACAATCCAGTTTGACATGTCGCTTTTCAATCCAAGGTCTGTAAATATCGCTGACGCTTTTTCGAGCTTCGTGAAGTGCGACAAAAGAAAACGGAATTTTGGAGGGCGTCCAGTTAGTTATGTGGGTTACGATGCACGAAATTTGACCACCGATGGTCAAGAGCCCAGTGGTAGCACTGAAATGCTCTCAATGCTCTCAATGCTCTCAACCTTGTACATGTTTGTCCAAGCTTTGAAGTCTACGAATGACTGGCTCCATAGCTTCGGCTGCAAGCTTGGTTCATGCTTCCTGCATTTGACAACACTTTCTCATATAACGTGGAGTAAAAGTAAAAGCAAAAGGAGCAGGCCTTGATTCTACAGAAGCAACCACAACAACATCACGACATGAAACTCAAGAAGCTCTGGCTGATGGATGGATGTGTCGGCCTTGTGTAGCAAGTTGAAAGAGAGAAAGAGAGGCTCATTGCTACTTCCGGATCTGTGATTAACAATCTGGAACACAAACGTGGACAATTATGTTTAGGACAATTATAATATGGGCGAGAATGTGCTCGAGCCAATCACGTCACGTAGGTTGATGCATAAATCATGGCGATATTCACCGGAAACAGCGAAGTGTGTGTTGGTTGGTTGCGATTTCACTCCTTAGCATATGCTACATTTCCGTGCTACCCATCTGGACATCAAGGAACAAGTCAAACCTGCATTGCCTGCTGGGAATGTTGATTGAATGATTAATTCAAGCATGTGCTTATGCATCCAGGCCTTCCCTCTCCGGGCCAAAAATTCTTATTTTCCCTCTTAAATAATATAATCTCAAATCTTAGATAATCTCAAGAATGAGTCAAAGAAAAAGAAAGGCAATCCATACTCCAGTTATGATTTTTAGACGACAGAGTCAAGATTTTTGATTTATGATTTTTGGGTATGATTTTGAGACGACAGAGTCAAGAGGAGGCTTTGTGCATCTCCTTCCTCTATTGAATCAGCTTCTCCTACAACAGTTTCTGAATTCGTCTCTGGCTTTATCTGTCCGCTCGAGCTCTCTACGATGGCTTTGCTTGTTCTGAATTTCCAGAATTTGGTCGTGGAATCATGGCCTTGTTTGAATGGGTCTGTATTCTTCCCAGGTCAGTGACAGTGACAGTGACGGAGGTTGGGAGACTGCATTGCATGCCCGAGGAAAAATGCCAGGACTTCGTTTGTCACTACCACGACGTGTTTTCTTGTACGAAGCCGATGGCCTAGCTCCTTGCAACACCTGTACGAGCGAGCGCGGCACAATCGGGACATGGGACCTGAATCCGTGCTGGAAGCGGTCCAGCTCGATCCAATTTCAGCAGCAGAGGGTGCAGTCTTCTCTCACGGTCACATCCGTATCGGTTGATGACCATGAAAGAAAAATCCTGTTGGCAGGCAGGCAGGCAGGCCGGCCGAGAGGACACTTGCTCCCTCAAGCCACGAGTGCTTGACCTCACTAGTCCTTTGCTTTGCATGGAATGTGCTGCATTTGTGCTGCGGATATAGTTAAATAAACCTCGCCCTTCGATTTATCAATTCTTCACATTTACTCGCAGCTGCGAACGTACATCGAGAATCCGATACGTCCTCGCAGATATCTCTCCTCTCTCCAACAGGAATACTAGTCCTCTCACGGAGCTGACGTCAATCCTTCTCCTTCTGGTGGGCTCCCCTGGAGGTCAGCAGCAGCGAGATATTTCAGCTCCTCCTCCGACTGACTGAGTGTGTGTTCGCTAGACTTCATTCCTCCATGACTCGGAAGCGTTTCCAGTCAGGGAACACAGGAGCTGGGTCCAGATCAGATCAGTTACAGTTTCATCATGCATTCATTCATTCAGTCATTGAGTCATTCATTCGCGTTCTGCTTCATAACTAGCTCCAGACGATGACCCAATTTAGCTCAGAATTGAAATTGGAGGCATCCTTCCCTCGAGGGTAAGGTGAACTGATCAATCTATCACATTTAGTCCCTCAGTAACCTTTCAGTAACTTCGATAGGAGCTCGAGGAGGAAAAAAATAAACCTTTTTCTGCCATTGCTCCGCTTTGCAGCTAGCAGTCTGGCAAAAAGCTGAAGCTGAGTCCAGATTTACCGATGCGAACTTCTAAATCCAGTGGCCAAGGTCGGGGAGAAAACGCTTTCGACTGTAAAGTTAGAGATGTCCAACTCAGCGTGACCAAGCGTGTTCCCACATCTTGTTTACGAAGACTGACTTGAACTTCGACTTTAAGGTCGCACTCATCTGATGCACGGGTTAAGGAAAGAAACCCAGAATAGCATTTTATTTTCTACTGCCATACATTTATTCGAAACGTATATCCCAATTTTATAAATAAAGAGTTAAATATGGCACTTCCAGACGTTTGTAAAGAAAAGTCGATAATACATTTCCGAACAGCACAAATATGGAGCCTTAATAAAGCCTCGAGACAAAACCTCAACGTCTCCAAGTTCATTTTCAAAGTGGAATGGTTCGGAAAGTCCGATTTATTTCAGCTTGATATAAGAAAGTCCTCTCCCACATGCGAAAAAAAATGAAACCTTTACTCGGTAATCCATCAAAAATAGTGCAAAATTTCTTAATTTATACATTATGGGGTGACAAGATGCGAGTTCTAGGTGCTTGCTTTCTGGTGTGCTTTCAACTGTTCGCAATAGCACCTGAAAGTCCTTGCCGTCACCTTCAGCTGAAGAAACATGCGAGCTGAAAGGGGAAAGAAGAAGAAGAAAATTGAGGGTGCTTGATTAGAATCTGACCTTCAGATGAAATAGAAAGCTCTTGATCATGCCAAAGCGTTTGCAGACAGAAATCTGGCTAAAGTTGGCAGCTCTTAAGTGTGGTATCTTACCGTTCGCGGATGAAACTGCATGTGTAGCTTGAGAAGTGAAGTTATGGAGTAAACACTTCCATTCGTAAAATGAGAAATGGCAAAGTAAACTGTTTCCTTGCCTACGCCACTGCGACTGGGAACTGGTCAAGCACTTGAGCAACTTCCAGCCTGAAGTGCAAAGTGTCAGGTTCGCTAGATAAAGCCACGACAATAGGAACTCGGATTAGAGGATGCTTAATTAACGTGCAAAGAATGCTCGTCTGAAGTGGGTTTCCGAAAAGGTACACAACTCAAAGGATGGATGTTCAGCAATCCTGACTTCCTCGTTACCTCCTTAAGGCATTCGTCGGGCTATTTCCCACCGAGCCTAATGTCTTCTGCAAGCATTGCGAAGACAAAGAGAGCCAACCTTCACGAAGCTGCCTCTTTTGAGCATGAAGTACGTTCTCTTGGCCTTGCCATTGAACCGTAAGATACTGCAGTGAGAGTTGCGTGAGCTGCAGTTTCATTGGATCACGCGCAGATCTACGATGTTTTTTTTTCTCCCGGGTTGAAAAAGTGGCCCATTGTCTTACAGGACTGAAGTGAACATCATCTCTGAGCCCATAGGTGACGATTCGCAGTTGGAGTTTCAGTATTCATGTGGTTCAAAACTTCATTCATATCTTAGAATTTCCTTCTTTTCTTTTCAAGGCCTAGGGGCCCACTCGACTGTATACACGCCAATAGGGAAACAGCTTGAAACGAGCTCCCCTGTTGCAAATTGGAATTGTGCTACAGAGACATTCGAACGTCTTTCTGGTCGGTTAACTGCTCAGGAAAGTGAACCAATACAGAAGAATTCTACCGTCAGCGCTTGCCGCTTTGGTCTGGATCTCTTCTTCTCGTTACGTTTGAGGACCACCATCAATGCACAGTTTCTAGACGGGAAGTACACACAGTGAGTGGAGATAATAGTATTTCTTCGACAAGTACTCGGTTTAAACTCTGAGCATTAGTCGTTTCTAACCTCCCAATGTTCGCCTATCTTGAATTTGTGATCTGACCTCAGTCTCGCTTCATGCAGCAGATCTCTGCTTATCAAAAGTGACAATTTCCAATCTAGCAAACATGCACTAGATACTTCCTCGGCTGAAGCATGTCTTGGAGAGAGATACTCGTGGTCCAACTTAAGTTGATTGATTAAGTAAGAAGATTGAGTTGCAAATCCTCCTGATAACTTGCATCACTGGCCATCCACATGTCAAGAAAGTCGACCTGCATTTAAAAGAAAGTTCGGTTAACCCGAAGCAGGTTTAAGCGCTAAAAACTTAGATCATTATTGATGAGCCTGTAAAGTCTCAAGGTTAATAACATAAATGCTATGATCAGTCAAAGAGGATGGTCGTTGAGAAACAAGAAAAATCTTGATAGCAAAACTGCACAAACCACTCAAATACCCGAGCCAGAGATGTGGCCATATGGCAGTTTCATTTAGTAGGTGAGGAGGGGGGCCTATAGTGCCTACAATTGAACTCTCCAGGGTCAAATTTGTCATGTGAGGTGCAGGGTGAGCGTCCTGCACACTGAAACTGATAGTCCTTCCGATCGTAACTTACAATTATGTTCATCATCGAACAGAAAAAAACATCAATTTCAACAAAGTGTTATGAAGGATCAGATCCAAACACGAGCAAAGTTTTGTAGCGAATAGGGAAACCTTGATGCAAGAACAGCACATGGACATTCAATTAGATGAAATAGAGATGATGCCATACTGGAGCCGAGGGGAGGGACGGTCTCCTTGCGTTTAAGGCATCCTTCCTGGAATTCCCAGCATCAAGTACCGAGTCAGATGAATGACGGAATAAGATTTACAGTCCAAGGAGAGACCATCAGAATTACGGGACTGATCAGATACGTGAGACACTTATCAGGCTATAGGCTTCGTTTACACCTCCAGACGGCAGATAGAAACCCTGGCGCTTGTTTGTAGCTAGAAGGCCAGGAGTAACGTTCCCACATCAGTCGAGGACGAGATGCATCGGAGAGAGAAAGGTCTATCTGCAAGAGTAGAAGACGAACCTATATAGAGAGAGAACTGCAACTTCGTTCAGAAGATCCCGTAGTTACTAGATTAAAGGTCAAGTTGATTACGAGCAATGGTGTGGTACATCTGGAAGAACAAATTTACATATAGCAGCAAAAAATATTGAACTGAGATGTAAAAACTAAATGAATAAACACCACACGTAATTTACGTATGTTGAGGTAGGTACACAAACCAAATGCACCCGGAGTAACAGGGGCTGATTATGCAACACATTGGTTGGCTTCAAGGTAGATCCCACCTTTGTCAAACAGACTGATAGCGCTGTCTAATGGGGTGTGCATAGTCTGGCTTACATACAATTTGGTGGAGTAAGGACCTAGTAATTACTCCACTGAACCTTAACAGATGTTATGACCTGTCTATATCTATGAATGTAAATTTAGAGGTTGCAGAAAACCAAACAGATACAACTGCTACATAGATAAAAGATAGAATCAACGAGCGTGACCTTCCAATGGCCAAACAGAAAGAGTAGACACAAAGGCACAGTGCTTTGGAAGCTAGAGAGCAAAAGCTTGAGCTCCAGAAAGCAAACTGACACACAAGGCATGCATATGCCGCAATCGGGGAAATAGCTGCAAGGAAGTACTAAATTTCATCACAGAAGTAGTATTATAATCTACCATCAGGCTGACAAGATTCCTTATTGAAGAGAATACACATACTAACATCTGTGCTATTCAACCTGCTTAATTTTGGGAAGTACCAGATGTAGAGACTCGTCCAACCCAAGAACACGATTACAATCTGTAGCAGAAGACTCACACAGTTATGGAAGGATAGCTCTCACATCGGGGTTAGATATCAGAAGCATAATACACTGAGGTGTAACATTCGCAGCCGGTTCTTTTGAAAACTGAATCTTACAAAGCGTATTGAAAAACGGCTACACCTCGTAACAAAAAAATATCTCTCCCAAATATGTACATGATAGTCCTGAGCATGTTTCTGTATTAGTATCTAAATCTAGACATAAACGATACATCACACGCCCTGTATGGTCAAGTCGTGTAAATTGTAAAATCACAATTCAGATTTGAGGAACCTAAGGGCTACTAAATACTTGAGAAGTTTAGAACTGTCTACCCTTCGAACCTAAACAACGATGTTGATGGACGCTACTCGTCATTGCTCCTATTTGCCATTTGTTTGGCATTCTGCTCCTGGATGATTCGTTCCTTCTCCGCCTCGGGTAGGGCTTGGAAGATGAAAACAGACTTGTCTCCAATGTCATCCTGCAACGAGCAAATCTTCATGAGTATCCTGTAGGGGAAGAACAGATAGGTGTATGCAAGAAACATAGGTGAACCAGATGTCGCAAGAGTTCACAACGTCCCTCGGTTAGCGTGGTATGAACGTACCTTAATGGGTTGAGTAAACTTCCTAGCAGCGAACACAGTGAAGAGTCCGATCCAAGCAGCCAAGAGCCCTAGCTTTACCTTGTCATCCATAGCTCCTGACTGCGCAGTATTTTAACATTGAAATTGATTAGAGCTAGATATGACCAACCTGAAGAAATCTAGCCACCTACATGATCAGATCTGACATAGTAAATCAATCACTTCAAAACGGCGTCAAAATTCATACAATAGTTCCATGAATTTAGGACATGGACGACTTGAAATAAGGAAGTTACCAGGTGTCCAAGAAGTAGCCCAGGGATCACAAAAAATAGTGCAGCAGCCTCAAATTTCCCGTAGCATAGACCTGCAAGCACAAACTGTCAAGAGTTATGGAAGAAGTTCTATGCTCGTTTCTAAAGGCTTACTCAACTGTGGCCATCTGCAAGTTGTGCTGTAGGCGCATGAGATTCAAGGCATATGAATGCAGCTCAAGTTAGAAAATGAGAGTGTCTGCAAAATCGTAAAAGAAACTAACCTTCTTTAAAGGCGAGGCCCGTCAAGGCAGCAAATAGTGGACCCACAGCCCATATTCCCGCTGGGTGATCCACAACAAACTGAACAAGTCCTTGATCTGCCGGTGCTGCAAAGTTGACAGCCATTGCAACAGATCCCAGCACTCCCACGGCCCACAGTAACTGTAAAGTCCGTTTGATTGGAGTGACATAGATGTGGATGAGGAATAACGATAATCCCAAGCCACCAGCTCCCAAAGCATATAGCGGGTCATAAACAGCTTGAACAGCAGATTTTACTGGGTTACCATCAGGCAGGAATGCTGTTGACGCTACTGTTACAAATGCTGCTGCAGATGTGACCAGGCCACTACGGTAGAGTATAACCTGTTGAGAAATTATACAAGTGTTATATTTCCTGAATCAGAAGTTGCTTTAAACATCACGATGTCGATTTCTTCAAACAGTTAACTGTCTCCTCCTTTAACACCAATTCACACATTTTTGCCTCACGACTACAAGATGTGTCCTCGGGGCTTTATCCTGTTGGAGCACTTTCAGTTATGAATTTGATTTTGTAGACACAGAAACCAGAAAATTCTTCATGCTATGTCATTCCATTCATCGGTGACATTCGTGAAAACCATCTTCCTACTGCAAGGTTCTTTTTCTTCTAGCAGAATCCTCGTGCTGCCCCTGAAGAAGTACACAGATGTAAAGAATATAGACACCCGCTACCTCTATTCGCCGCTGCCTCCTGTTTTGTATTTGCGGCAAGGGTACTCGTATGATATGTATTGTAATAAGTAAGCTTTTTAAGGATCCCCTGTTGAAATTGGCTACATTCCTAGACGATGAAACTTGTGCAGAGGCAAGAGAAAGGGGGGATGACGAAAAAGGTCCAGGCCCCAAGTGGGATTCGATTACAAGTCACTTCAGGAATTTGAAGAGATTCTGCAGTGTACAATTCTAGACTCCGTCACAGAGGTCAGTACTACGAACTTGCCAGAAAATTCACTAGATTCTTCAGAGTTGAAGAATTCTTCGAAGGGCCATATGAACCGAATTCCTACCTCACGAATGTCAGCCGAGTCGACGGACCAAGGACCATAAATTCCTTGGTACACAGTAGCAGCGCTGGGGCTGGCCACATCATCATTCATAGCACAGCGAACCACTCCGGAACCTCCCGACAGATTCCTGGCCTTCGGCCGCTGGCGCTGCTGCAGTGCATGGAGTCGAAAGCCAGTGGCATTGTGAACTCCTCGAGCTGCCAATAATCGACCGAGCCCTCTGGGCCCGATTCTCACATCCTTCCCAGCTCTAGCTCCACCACAGCAGCTCTGCGCCGCTGCAGCGCTCGGAACATTCAACATCCAATTGCCCACGGCTCGAGCCATGATCGCGACGCCCACTCTTCCTTCCGACCACAGACAGAGCCGCAGAACACGTCAAATTCGCAGCTTCTAATCTCCGCGAGCTCGGTCCTTTCTCCCCACAACACCTTCCGGACGACGATGCCCAGAGTTCAGCTCTGAAAGCTCAAGCTCAAGCTCGTCCGCCATCTGGTGCGTCAGCGAGCTGCGAGAGATCTTTGACCACTGAGAAGCATGCGTGGAGTGCAGTGGAGTGGAGTGCAGTGGTGGGTCCGCATGGATTTCATTCTGTGCGCCACAGATCCTCGAGCCTCCACAGCACGAAGGACGAAGGAAGGATGATGATGACGATGGTCCTTCTGCTGCAGCTTTGCTTCGGAAGCCCTTCGGTCCAAATTCCCCTGAATTAGTCTCCGTGCCTTTATTCTGCTACCGTTATCATTTCCAGTCCTACTTTCTGAACATGGTGGTGCTCAAACATGCACAGAATTTTTCAACAGATTGTACCAGAATTTGACGAGCGTTTCACACTCTGAGCATGATCTACTGAAGTGTTATGTTGCATGAAAATTAACAAATTAAATAGTGGTGGGAATGAAATGAAAATAAACATTTTGATGGAACAATTAACATGGATATGATATACTGAAGCATACACAATCAATTGTTTTTGTGATAGAGATGATGTTATTTTGGATTGGTCCGTTTGTCTATTTAGAACTTGAGTGTCATAGTAACGTAGATGCATCACTTGTATATCTTGAATAAATCATTATGTGATGCCATGACGAATATCGTTTTCTAATGGTATCAAATATAACTATACTTTGTAATGGCAAATGAAATCGAATATGTTGTAAGGAGTAAAAGTTGCAAAATTGAATACTAGGATGGCCATGAGTGGAGTTGCAACAACGGAACGCTCCATAGATATTTGAAGGTTTTACTGTTTGTTCCATTAGCTTACTGCACATATATATATAAAATTAAAAAACGCTTGGAAAATAATCCGCAAGAATCTACAATACTGAACACAAATCAATCACTCTCTTCACTTCATTGAGAATCCTAATTTTAAAGAAATTTTTCGTTGCTTAACAAAGATTCTCACATATGTTAACCAATATAATCATCTAATATGATTTTTTTTTTCTTGAACGTTTGTAATCTGTTTGTATAATTTGATACATTGTATATCTAATTTGGATAATTTGCAACTCAATTGACTTATATTATTTTGAATTATTATATGTTTAACTTACATTATTGGGAGAAAAGATAAGCATATTACTTGTGCCCGACTAAATTCTAATATGTTTGATCACTTCAAAACTTAATGTATCTTCCCATCTTTATGCTATGTTACTTCATTCACTTATATTCCAATGCACACAGCGTGTTGAATGGTTGCGGCCAACATGTGCTAAAGTCCATACAATATAAATCAACACGTCTTCAAGAACCTTTTTGTTTTCTTCATAATTAATGTAAAAATCCACTTCTACGTTGACTAAAGCACACAAAAACGTCGTTTCGGAAGGTCAAGCGTAAATAGATAGCAAAATGGTTGAAAGACCGTCGGTAGAAATTTGTAGTGGAGACAAAGGACAACCTTACTTTGAAGCCCATATCCGATCGGAAGTTTGCGACACAGATTGTGAATCCAACGAGATTTGCGTGTTATCCCTGATAGATTGCAAGAACTAGTGACAACTCAATGATTAAATTCTTCATTCTCAGTGTCTCATTTTTCATTCCACGCTTTACGAGTTTGTATAAGATGAAGTTTATCCACTAAGTACGGCTGTGTCTTTTGTTAGCAACTTGCCACAAGCCACTTAGAACAGACTGTGACAAGATACAATTGTGGTGCACAATACCAAGACTATGTCTCTTCCAGCATAAGAGTGCACCCAACACGACGACAAAAACTTACATCCTAGCATGGATTGTTGTTGGATATGTGGAGAGCTGTGTTTAAGTACTTTCTACAAAACAACAGTTGTATGCGAGTGATTTAAAATGGGAAATAAGGAGACCACTTAATACTTCATTCTCTAGAAAAGACATATAAAACTTATGTCAGTGAGTAAATACAATAATGAACAGTTAGATACTGAGCAAATAAATTTATCATCTATCTGATCATTCGATATTTATCATTCAATGCATTCATTTATTTACGGTGTCACTCAATCACTTCATCAACTGATATTACTCACACATGTATCATTTACAGTGCATATATTAATGAGGAATCAGATTGTGTATATTCCTCATGAGTGACAATTATTCTTCGTTCTTAATGCAAGTACCTGTGAACTCAGCCTGTAGTGACTGTGACCCTAGGCTTTGAAGTTGACATATATATTCTGAAGATCAACTCTTGACGAGAAAAGTGTTTCCTCTTAATTAAATATACAACAAGCATATATCATACAAGTGACTACTTCGATACCAGGGTACCTGGTTGCGAAAGGACAGCTCAGGAGGTCAATTGTTATTCAGCAAATTCGAGACAACTTCCTGTTTTTAAGTTATCCGTGGGTTGGAACAAGTGCATGTGAAAAGAATGATTCCATCATGCAATCAAAAGATATGTCACGTTCACAGTCAGTATCGTTCTATTCCCTAGATGATCCACAATAGTTTTTGAGATTCAAGGATAGTGAAAATTTGAGACATGGAGTTTGAAGATGGAAAATGATAAGCACAAAAATCCAATGCAAGGTAAGTAATAAAGGTGACAAGGAGACAACTCCATTGATTATAATGTCGATATGACCTCATGGCCACCAAAAGAATCACTAAACAGAGACTGATACCCTGCAATTTCCTCTCAAACAAGGGGGTTCTTGCTCTTGCTCTTTTGCTCAACGCTTCGAGAAAAAGGAAAAATCTTCGAGCCTGTTTCTCGCATTCTGATATCCAAGCCCCCACACTTCCGCTTGAGAACTTCCGCGCTGCCGTATACTGTACATGTAATCGCCACCATGTCTCCGCATACTCTAAGTAAGGATGTACACACCTCAATTGAAATATGTACTTCACAAAGTAGTCTCTGTAAAAATTGAGAGTGAAATATGCCGGAGGTCCATCTAAGAAGGCTGACAAAAAAGGTGGGCTGACAGGCGCATGTAAAGTTGTGAAGTGGAATATCGGCGATTGCTGGCTGGTTAGATAGTGACTGGATGATTGAACACCCGAACACATCTCACAGCACATGGAGTACAGCATCTGCTGGAGCATCGCCGACTACCGTGAGGTCCTATAAGCTAGAACATAAAGTAATCGTCGGAACACCAGGCCACATATAACAGCAAAAGTGCCAGAGTCTCTCATCCTGCTTCATCTTAACCTGAAACGCCAGCAAGTGCATCAACATTAGTACCGACAGGGGTTGCACACGTAGATAATGGTGCGTGCTTTTACTGTTTTCACTGCTCTCACGTGATCTAGAACTGACGATGCCCTCCTGATACACAGGACACTCCTGAAAACGATGAAATTTAGTGGGCAGGAGAATTAAACATCCAAAATAAACTAAGCATAAAGGGGATGCGATAATCAGGGGAATGGATAGCTTATACCCTCTGACACTGTTTGTGTTTTCTTAAATAAATGAAAGGATCTTAAAACCCAATACTTAGGTAGCGATAGTAGGAGGACGGAAATCTGCAAGGCATCTTGTTCGAACTCAAATTGAGTACTTGAATCATCACTTCCAATCGGGTATGGATCTGAAATAGAACGGACCTAATTGGCAAGGTGTGGTGTCTCTTGGTTGAAGAAACTTGCTGAACCATTTCGCTGAGTTTTTGGGGGTACGCTTCAAAGTCTCGAAGTCGACATGATAGAGACCAAAGCGACTGGTGAAGCCCACAGCCCATTCAAAGTTGTCCATGAGCGACCATGCAAAATAAGTTCGTACATCTGCTCCGTTCCTGCATAGATTGTAATTAGCTCTTCATGAATCGAGGGTGCAATTACCAAAACTTCAATCTAAACTCATAGAGGGAAGCTTCTCGGGGAGGACAACACATAAAGAATGGAAGCGTGACATAGCCTACAGTTAAGAAGATGGACATGTGGACAGGTGCAGTCAGGCCACATTTTCCGCAGGCAAAACTTAGTGACGATGTTTATGATATGTCGAGACAACGTCAACTGGAAGTAGAAAGCAAGTACTCTTGGAGAATGAACGTACTGTATTGCTCCTTGAACTGATCTCAGATAATCATTGTAGAAGTCAACTCGCTCAGTATCGTTTAAGTACTGTTCAAGAGGTATCGTTTCATTGTTGGGTCCATCCATTCCTGGATAACAAAAAGGTTAGAAGTTAAGCAAACGAGTACGAGATCAAGACTGGAGCTGTTTGCGAATCAAGTCTCCCATTTTGTTGAAGTAAATCACAATTGATTCATGTGCTACATAATGCGTTGATAGTGAGCAAAGATGGTTGCTTTACCATTTTCACATATGTAGATGGGAGCTTTATACTTTTCCCATACGTGTTCAATGAGTTTTTGCAGCCCCCAAGGTACAACGTAAAGCCAGAACGATTGAGCCTGCAAGTTGACAAATGACAACAAAGTGTCAAAGTTACGCATACTTCGATTTGCGACAACTTGTGCAGAAGCTCTGAGTGCCCACCCCCCTCCTTCATGAACACGGAAAATAGCTTTGAAAATGAAATCAAGCAGATCTTGAGTCTGAGAGTTGAGATTAGAGCTTACCCTCTGCCCGATTTGAACGCCGTCTTTCTCAACTGCACCAAATTGTTTCAAAAACTCTTCAGTCGTATACATACTGTGCTTAGAGGAGCTAGATGACTACTTCGCAATAACATAGATGAAAGTCGAATTTGTGTATCTTCAATACAAAATGAAGCTTGAATTCAAATCATGTCACGTACTTGTCGTCTGTATGCCTTGATCCACCCAGTAGTTACTCTGACTCGGGTCCTCAGGAAGTGGGTTACTAGTCACCCAGCGAGAGGTGTAGTGATTCAGACCAATAAAATCAAGCGAGTCACGTAGCAGTAGTTTCTGAGCTTCAGTGAAAGTGGGCAGACGATCTCCGATATTTTCCCGCATTTGAGCAGGATAATCACCAAAGAAAATAGGATCTAACCACCTGATCAATCTCGAATCCAATGATCTATTGAAGTTAGATGTCGTACTTGATCAATCTTTCTAGATTACATAATTTGTAGTTCATCTAAACAAAGTGCACGCGGAACAGAATTGATCTAAGAGATAAGAAATAGAAAGGTTGGACAATCTCTTCTTGATTTTTCTCTGTGATACTTTGTCTCTGGAGCTCATCCTAAAACTCACGTTTCTGGTGTAAAGAAAATTTTGAGCATCATCGTGGTTAAGTTCAAAGGTATACCATCCAAGCTGGAACGCTAAACGTCGTTCCTGCGCTTTTTTATCCTCTTGTGAATCGCTCAAAGGTTCTGCCCACTCGCAATCAATTGTGAAACCGATTGTTCCTCCCTGCTTTTCCTAAAGTAAACAAAAACGTATCAAATCAGGCAAGGAAACTCTAAAGAACTGAATCAAAGTAATATTGTGCACAGAATTCAATGACAGTTCACAGTACCTGGTAATTTGATCTATATAACTCCACGGTAGCTGCATGAGAGAGCAGCACGTTGTGAGCAGCTAAATATGGTTCAGTTGCTGAATCTCCGACAGCAGATAACGTTCGATCAGAGGTTCTTCCAGGTGCATGTACCCCGTTGCCATAACCGTTGAAGCAAAACTGCGTCGGCTCGTTGAAAGTAATCCAATTCTTAACACGATCTCCGAAGGAAGCGAAACAGATCTGAGCATAATATGTGAAGTGACTCCTGTGCAGGACGACACCGAAACTCAGAGCAGTCAGATTTCATCCTCGAAGAAAACTATGTAGATAACAACCAAGTGGGAACTGCTTCCGTTGCGGTTGACCACTCTCCCTCAACAGCAACGACTGAAACCCCTATCCCTGTCTAGATCGTGACAAACACCAGTTCGCCTTCAACGCTCTTATTTCTGCTTCGAAAATTAATACTGACGATCAGATCGCATGGTGAAGGACATTTAGGAGTCTGAGGCTGTCAATAGGAACATACAAAAAGGTATGCACGTACTTCAGCAGAAAGTAAAATACAACGTATACATGTTGTCTCATGTTATTCATGTTGGAAGGGATTCCTGGTTAAGGTGGAACTTCCAGCAACCCCTGAGGGTCCTGAAGGTCACGAAGAGCATAATTTTCTACCAAAAAGGGCATGTCCATCACTTACACAATTTCTGGACTTGTCCATCCTCCAAGCTTATCCTGAAGAGGTTGTGGTAGATCCCAGTGATAAAGCGTCACATAAGGCTTGATACCTATATGATAATCAGGTCAGTAATGCAGCCATTTTCAAGACTGCAAAGGTAGAACCTATCCAATTGCAGCCAAACCAATTTCAATCACCTTTGCTGAGGAGAGCATCAATCACGCGATTGTAGTGGGCAATTCCTTCCATGTTCACCGTTTGTCCAATTCCATCTGCCATCAAAAACCGTTCCGTCACAAATCAAGATCCGAAAGTCTGATAATTTTTTATGAAATCCCAAGTTAAGAGAGGACTGGATTGAAAGGACTATTATACGGGCATAAGCTCCTTATCAGTAAGCTGAATCTAAATGCACAAGCGGCAACACTTGGCTATTCCTGTCACACATACTTCGCCATAATCGATCACCTAATAGTCTCAGCTAATAAATTTACTGTACCATATTAAAAAATTCTTGGTAATCATTATAAAGAAATTAGTCTCATTCCATACCAATAAAAGAAGTGACCTCAAACGAAATGTGAGAACGCAACGAAGCATATTGAAAAAAAGGTGAGACTGATACTATCATGGAATTTTAAAAAAGCGATCACTCAGCAAACTTTGAACAAAGTTAGACGAAGCATACCAGGTATTATTCGGCTCCACGCTATTGAAAACCGATAAGCATCTACATTTAAGTCTTTGAGGAGCTCAATGTCGTCCTGTACATTCATGAACTTCCTCTTCAGATTTCAAGATTACAGCATAACAGACGTCTTAAATGCAATCCCATCTTTCTCAAGCTACTACTTACATCACTAGGTCAAATCCACCTTGAAACCGAACAGTGCAAACCTTGTAGCGATGATAACTGTCGACCGCAATATCCCCAGAGGTATTCCCTGCAATTTTACCTGGATATCGCAAACCACTTTGAAAATCAGTCGCCAATCCTATTAAGACAAGATTAACACATCTGAGGATCTTCACTCCTTTCTTAGGGCTAAAGTACCGGTATACGTGACCATATGAACTCCATGAGAACGCAGAAGGTCAAATTATAAGGCACCAACTTTTGACCAGTGACTGATACGAGGCAACGACCTAGTGAACAGGAGCGTGGGTTCCAAGAATGCACCAGGAGTTTGGGTAAATGTATCCCAGATTGTCAGACCCCGACCGCCTTCTTCGATTGCGCCCTCAATCTGCGCAAACGTGTCAAGAGCAAAAGAGTCTTGCTTATGAGTAAAAGGAAATCTCCTGGCACTAATGAAGAAAAGCCTTACTACTGCGGGTAAATCATCACAATAGCTGATAATCCGGCTGACTGAACAATTGGAGGATCTTCGAGTTATTCAAAAAAATCAACCTTGCAGCCTAATGGATTTTCTTAGCGAATTGACAATGACAAATATTTCAACGACCACCCTCAACGAGAATAACTGAGGTCAAATTGCTGTGAAGAATTTCTCTGGATTCTATCCTCGAACTACTTGGGGTCATCTACTGTTGATGCAGATAGTGATCCCATACGATAATTAAAAGGAGAAATTAGTAGTTCTTGTGACATTCAGTAGCTAGAGCTCAATCAGGAGCATGAGCAGCTTCTAGTTCTGCGAGATCACATAATCTCCGATAGCGAGTCATGCTACCAGTTGTGAGTGAAGGATTCTTCTATGCAGCATGCAAAAAAAGATGAATTACATCGAGAACTTTAGCCGCAAAAATGGCATCACCATCCTGCTTGAACATGGACCCCTGTTTGGATTTGATTACTCAATATTCAGTATATTGCCTTCCACAAACTAAATTCACAATTCCGCGTTCCTCGCGTTTTCTCACTCGGGCGTGACGTCGACGGTGGACGAGCCTGTGTAAAATGAAGAATCCTAGTGCGTTCACAGTCTCCTACAGCAGTAAAGAGCGAACTCCGTGCTATTTTGTGTAAAGCCCTTGTCTTGCCGTTGCCGTTGCCCTTGACGAAGGCAAGATACTATCTTCGAAAAATAGTTAGATCATAAAGCAGACTGTGCCTGGTTTCTACAATGTGAAACGTCTAACGATGAATTTGTAAGATCAAGTGTTTCTTCTACTCAGACTAGATGCGATTCGTACAAACACACATCGACTTGTCCCGATGCTGTGACAGACGAGGCACAAGTAATTACCCTCACGTCGAGAATCAAGAAACATACTTCATCCACTCGTTGCTCGACGTCGTCATCAAAATTTCACGCTCTAGATCAAAATTAGCGAATAAGGTTATAGTTCTGAATCTTGCTGATACTTTGTTAAGAACGAAGCCAAACTGTGACTGGCACTGCGCCAGTGATTTCAAAACAGGTAGACTGCGTGTTTTGCGATTACGAACAAATCAACTGGAGGCGGTGTACTGAAGACAAATAACTCGTGATCAGAAATATGACAACCCAACGTCGAAACGAGAGTCTGCATTCTGTGAGGGACAATGTCTGAGAGCTGAGAGGCTGTCACACGGGCCAATTACAGGCTCTCCATCTCCTATTAGAGGGTTGATGGAAGTGAACACTTTGGTGCAGTTTGCCCCTTGGAACGTCCCCTTTCATCAACTCGTAGTGCGATCACTTCTATTAAGGATTTACGCGATCTACCCTGAGTACCTGCACATTGATAGAAGTTAAGTAGACCATATGTTTTATGCTTGAAGAATAGATTAATTAATATCCTCAGCCTCTGTGATCTCCTTCTTACTTTTAGAAGTTACGGCCGAATAGGATAAGAGTGTTAAGCTCGTTCGCACGTCGAACTGCCCCGCTGAGTTGAGGCCAATTACAAATTTGGTACAGTTCTGCTGAGCATCGGTGAAATGAACATCACACACTGAATCAAGAATGCACTGGGACCGAGTGGGATGCATTACCTGATACGCAGAGGTGGCAGTTCCAAACACAAAGTCTTTGGGAAAGTCGGATCGATGAAAACCCGTCGCGTCCTTGCCGTCTGGATCGATGCAAGCCATCTTCTCCGACTCCATAACCCAGGATTGAGAGTGAGAGAAGACGAGCGCGAAGAGAGGCACGATCAGGAGTACATAAAACCCTTTCTTCAGAAAAGGAGGAATGTGCCCACCCATAATTCAAGATCTGACTCTGTATTCCCCACCACACGTTATAACGTACTGATTGCACAGTTGTCTCTGTCTGCCTCTCCCACTCAGACACAAAGGATCTGACTAGCAGGAAACCAGGCTTTCAAAAAAACCTGTCCAAATAGGTGGGTGGGTGGGATCGTAGGCCGTGGAGTGACTGTGAGGGCTTGATTGCCGAGCGCTTTCAAGCTGTGAACCTCAGTACATTCCCAAGTAACGTCCCGTCTCTCATATCCACAGTAGTACCAATCTTTGCACCAATTTATACCATCACCAGTTCTCACCAGAGCCCAGCCTTCCTCTAACTTCCACTTGGCATGCACAGTGCACATTAAACTCCCTCCCACTGCCCACTCAGTATCCCTGCCCTTCTGCTACTCCTCCTCAAGCGCGTAAATTGGAACGAATCAAAAAAGTGAGTGAAATTTATTTCGTCCGACAGCACTCTCAAGCCGTGGGAATTATACTATGCCAGAAATCTAGCTTCTGCTACAGAGTCTCGAATGTATGCATATGTGTGCCTTCCCAGTTTATCGGAGCTTCACCGCTATGAAAGTTGATGAGCGAGTCTTCAGCTACCAGTTTAGAGTTTTTACTCTTCGCCGCAGATTTGCCTATTTATAAAAGTTTCGAGTGGGCGAAAAGATTTCCAGCTTGGGTGAGTTTCTGCAAGGCCAGCGTTTCACCAGGGCGTGCGGGTCCCATGGTGGCATGTCAAGAGAATGATGGTTCAGAAGGACTGAGGTCGGAAGTCTGGACTTTCTTTGGCGTGGCGTGCACAGTTGATGGCGTTCCTAAGGATCATGCTCGCCAGACTCAGCATCAGGTACCATGATGGTTTGTTCCCCGGATGCACGTTCTTTCACGTCCCTCTCAGACACGACAACATCCGTTTGGCTCCGCCCTTTTGCCATGTCGACTCGCGTCCCAACATTCGATAGTAAGAAGAGTATCGCCCGTTCACTCCAAAGCTCTTTTCTGCGAGTGAAAAGCTCTACGATGCGCAATTTCAATGTGGAATAATTCTTTATGCGGCCAGCTTTGTTCTGACCATGCTTCGGCAACGACACGGGATTCGAATCTCGGCGGTTGACTTGGGAGCCGTCGGAGCTCTTCAAACTTCTCAGCATGCCACAATCTGATACGTTCCGCTTAGAACTCAAAAGCCTATTCGCTCACGCATCGTCCTATAGCTGGGATTCGAGCGTAAATCAAAACGATGGCGTGGTGTGCATCTAATTACGCATTAAAAAAAATATTTACACGTGCTTTTTGTCCAAGTGGGGAAGAGACGGTGACGTCAGCTGTGAATGAAACATTTTCACTCTTTGCTAGAGGGAATAAGCATTTGCATTGCGGAGCTGGGGATTCAAAATCCTTTCATGATAGAAGTTATGAATTATAATAGTAAAACGAGAATTATGAAAGTGGAACCAAACCCATATGGAAGTGATGACAATGCAAAACTAACACATTTCTAGCCTAACTCCCAACCGGCGATTAGGTTTGGTCATCCATAGCAATAACACGCACAGTCAAATTGCAACAGCAGAACACCTTAGTTCACATGTCTTGCAAAATCAAAGTACCAAAAGGAGAGGACGAGGTACGAGGTCGCTGCCGAATGAAATTGAACAGAAGAAATTTCATCGGCACGGGCATAGCGTTGGAAAGGCAGGAAGTGATGCAAGAATCTTTCGTACACAAAAAGTTGTACTTCGTTCATCGTCTTCCATTGTGATCTTTGACAGGGTCCAACATGGTCCAACCCGACGCACATGGTATCGGAGAAAAGGCAGGGAGTAGACAGATCCTCGTGGATAGGCTCGGCATCGTCGCCCTGGGATTCATCTCACGCGCTGCTCGTCCCTCCACTTCCCCACAGATTATTAAATCGCCACGCTGCAGGAAAAGGCGCGGGGTTTGACTCGAGGACCAAAGACGTTGCAGCTTTTGTACGTTGAGGACCTCGACTGGACCTCGACTGCAGAATAAAATAGGTGACAATATTTGAACGGCGCGATATATGATCGCGCTTTTAGATGTCGTACCGAGAGCGCTTTATCATTGTACCCAGAGCGAGTGTTTGAATTCAAGACCATCTCTCTCTCATAAAGTGCCAAAAGTATGCAAAGGATACCGAGAAATGTATAGCCAAAAGTGAGTGAGAGACGACCCCATAACTCGTTCAAGGATAAATCTTAAAGAGCAGGATGGAGCTACTTCCAACAGTAATAGTAGGTGTCTCCTTCAACTAACATATCCGTAGATTTTGTTCCTTGTTGGACTTGATGGATCTACACATAGTTTTTAATATCTATGTGGCCACTCTACTCTTTGACTATCCCTATCCTCGCTCTTGAGGTCAAAAGGCCTAGATACTTTATGAGCATATAAAGAATAGATTTGTCTCCCAGGGATTGTTCATGGTTATCTCTACGTAGTAATATGTTTACACTCTCAATAAATTAGGCTAAGGTCGTATAAGATGATAAAAAATTCAACATATAATTTATTAGATAGATTCTAGCACGCTCTCTCCCTAGAAGTATTCAACTTCATAGTTTCCACAACTTCAAATCTGAATTTTTAAAAATCTGAACGTTATACATACAGGTATAGTTGAAGACATTGAGTATTTTCACTCGATTTATTGTATATTTAAGAATTTCAAATATATGATTTTTTCTTCACAATAATGTAGTTGCAGTGTGCAAGCGAGTTTGTTGATACACTGAATTGAGATACTGCCCGAAATCCCTCCGTCCCTTTCAAAGGGAGATTCGGATGCGGTGCAGGAATGTGACAAAAGGCCAGCACTCTTGTAATCCAAGCTCTTCTTGCACAAAGTCCTTGCCGCAATTCCGCAGGCGACGAGGAACTCCCCCGAAATCTTGGTCCAGTTAAACAGAGGACCAATAAGTGAAGAATAATTGGAATACATCACACTAATGTCTCCCAAAAGAACAAGAGTGAAATAATTGAACAATTTCCAGCGAAGCGAATAATTTTCAAATTCAGAACGTACGGAGGAATTTCAAATCTAGAATTCATGCATGTTATTCACCTTTTCTTATTTTTTAAAACACAAAGAAGAAGATTACGGGGTATGCAAAATCATAAGCTTTTGACCCTGATATGATATGGAGACAGTTTAAATGGTCTCCAACGCAAGAAAGGACGGGTGTGTGACAGAACGGAAATAACCAGGTTTCTCATGGTGCCCGGCATCCGTTTTTGGTCTTAGCTGTGGCTTTGAAAATACATAGAAACAATTTACGACTGCATCAGGTTCTTTTATAGCTGTGTAGCCAAAACCGTAGCAACTTACTAAAAGCAGCCCAATGTCTTTCTCATTCTGTACTCAGTAGCTTTTCAAATCAATGCTGCAACAATTCGATGGACTTCTTCGCGCAGCTGGAAAAGGCGAGAGCCAAAAGATGGGGCGAGAGAGGCTCGAACTCTCGACCTCCGGATTTCTCGGTGAGCTATGAGACCGACGCGCTAACCAACTGCGCCACCGCCCCTTGTTGTTTCTCCACATTCAGAAGTAATTATAGATTCGGTAATTATTACAGTAAGTTAGTTTGTCACGTGAAGTAAAAAGACAAAAGAGATTCTGAGATCAGGCTAAGACTTGAAAATTATTTGTTGTATGTTTTTCGTTTTTTATTCCATATTTTAAGGTTCTTAATCCTTTTTCTCCATGTTTTCCTTCATTAGATATTTCCTCTCGTTATACTGTAAAGGAAAGGTATTTTGGAATCCTTCATTTGATTCATTTGTTTCACTAAGGAAGCCGCGGATATGTAAAATCATGTGTGGGTTCATCAAAGAGAACTTGGTTCTAAACCTTCAGCATCTATCATTGCCAAATTGATTTTCCTTTATTACGAACGACTAGAAATCTGGCTCCACTTGGGACAGTCATTCCATACGAAGGCTGGACCACTTCCAAGGCGCCCCTTGCACTGTGGCCGGAAATTGGTCGTCTTCGATCTTCAGAGTCTACGCAATTCTGCTCATACTGTGCTTTTGTTCTCACAGTTTTGCAATCCACGTGATGTGGTAAAATCTCTTCTACGACCTTGTGAAGGAGGCTCAAATCATTTTCCCCAGGGATACAAATCACACCACCAGAATTCGGCGGTCATTCTCGGTTTTGACATAGTAGAGATCAGTGCGATTAGGGCTCATGAACGACAAATCTGTCATGTTCACCTATGGTTTCCTTCAGCAAATATGCTGAGGAAGTACAACGAGGAAGTGTTCATAATCGACCGGCACGCTTCTTCTGTTCTGGCTTGTAACTGTATGAAGCGCTTTTAGTTGTTCATCTTTCTTCCCGTTGCTACCTTCGGCGTAAAGAACTGCGGCCAGGGACGAGACAAATTACACTACTGGAAAAGCCATGAAATCTAGCCCATAGTTATCCTTGGCTGACTGTTGTCACTGAGCCTTCATTAACGCGCTGGACTAGTTCACGTCACCAACTTGATAGACAGCTAGCACAAGCTAGTTTGGATTCCTGAAATACTGTGAAATACGCGTACAGTGAAATATCCAGTTGGTGGCACTTGACCATTTTCTCAAATTTTGAGTCATGAATGAAGTTTTGTCCGATTCTACTTTTTTCTCCGCTACGATTAATCTAAGATCTCTCCGTCTTACTACTCATTGATTCTCATGTCCACATTACGAAGTCGTTGCACAAACAGCACTGATGTCCTCAGTAACATTCCTACAAATGACCTCCCTTCGGTTCTAATGACACTTTCAACGCGTAAGCATCTTCAGAGGGTTTACGCCATTCGGTCGGCAATAAACTTGCGACATTCTTTCTTCTGGGCATGCAGCCTGTTCTGCGCACGGACGACATTTCCAGAAAGGAAGCCAGTAAACGAACCCGAAAGAGGGCAATATGTGAGAGGACAATACAGAGGAATTGAGTGTCGTACAAGGGCACTGCAAGGAAAATCCGAAACCTTGCAGGCTGGCAGAGAACATAGTTCTGGCTTATGGCCAGATAGCATAGCAGTGCAGCTGCTTTGTCCCCTTTAGACTCCGCAACTTTCCTTTGCAGAGGAGCGAGCAGATTCTCGAAGTCCTGGTGCTGAACGACAAGTTTACAACAAAGCTCTCGTCGTAGAATGAGCAACGGTCACTACCTCTTGAATCAGCCTTCGAGAATGAGCTAAAATGTTGGCGCTCACTGGCTTGACGGTTGTAAAATGTGCTGAAGATCAGCTTCACCGAAGCGGACTACCTCAGCACAAAACTCACACTTGACCTCCACGTGACCTGCATCAGTGCGGTGTTCCCCACATCATAACGTGGAAAACATCAAAAGCAGCAAAACGACTGTACTTACGGTAGTTGTGACATGGAAGTTGATACAGGACGATGATCGTGCCTCACCTTGCTCTGCGAGTATTTCCTCCACGTCCTGTTTACCCAGAGAAGCTACGGCGCGCACCATGCGAGGCTTTAATTCTTCGACAGTACAGGGTCCAAATTTGGGTTCGGGCTGTGTCAAAACGGAATAAATCTGTGAGCTTCACAGCGTTTTTCAAGGCTCATTCCTCAGCAGCGACGTACTTGCTGTACTTCTAAGACACTGCTACGCCAAGTTTCACGGTGAAGCTCGGCAATGCTAGTTCAATGGCGGCAGTAAACACTAGGTCCCTCTACTCATACACAAAACGTAAGGCAAGACCACTCTGAAAGTGGCAGAAACTAGACGATGAGCCTGATATAAGAGACAGCGCGCGGATCGGAGTTCTCATTTCTCCTGCAGACCTTACTCACCAAGTCATCATAATCTCCGATACCAATGCCTTCAAGTAAAAGCTCTGAAATTTTTTTTGCTGTCATGACATCGCTGGAATCAGAGAGAGGCGGCATTTTTAGGATATTCTCCTCCAACTTTGCTAGAGTTTCATCGGAACAGAATGGCAGCACCTGCCAATACAACACTCCTGTTGGTCAGAAGTTTTGCAGTTGCTCTGAAGTATGCTCAGGAGTCCTCTCGTTTAAGAAGAATGTCTAACAGAGATCTGCGGAGCTAACGCACTTATGCTGCGGATATGAGAAAGCAGGAGACAGGAAGTGCGATTCATATTTACTTATAGGATAAACTTCTTTCAACTAAGATAGTGAATTAAAAAACCGAAATTGAGCCCACGACTTTCATCACCCTGGTTCCAGACATGTCCGAAGGGTAGAAGACCTTTACTGTTGTTAAAACTTTTCGTTGTAGAATTATGAGTGATGAGACGACTCTCACCTGTACTAAGAATCCCCCAGCGAACTGAACCGCTGTGCTTTTACTAAGAGAAACACCTACTCCAAGGGCAACATTAATCTGCAGCGGAGAAGATTTGTTAGCTCCATATGCAGCAGCGACTAGAACTGGAAAAACAGAAGACAGCTCCCTAGTCCTGCTCATCAGCTACACGCTGGAATAGACGGTGGAACATAGCTGGCGACACCCAACTTCTTTCGGTGTTCAACGGAGGTTTGAGAGCATTGCAAAAAAAACATCGAATCACGAATTTGGCATGCGGGAAACTACGATAGTATCCCAATATTTCACGAGGAGAACAATTTGCAAACTGTAAGTCAGCGGTCACGCTTGCTTGATTTACCTGCTCACTGTCCGCTAAATAATGGGCGATATCTTCTGCAACTTCTCCGGAATAAATAGGCACAGTTCCACTGAATGAAAGAGTGGCACATCAGTCAGTTAAGAGTAAAAAAAGTCAATAAAGATCTGCTTGCGAAACTGCTGATAATCTCAAACTGCTTGGGTTCAGATAGCTGGAACTTACGAATAAGGTTGTGCCCAATTTGCGTTGTTTCGCACTACAGTTAATATACCAGTTCCCACAGCTGATCCTACATCAAGCTGTGTGACAATCAGACTTCGATTGATAAAAGGGCAAGCAATTTTTAGTCAATAAATAAGAAGGAGAGAGTCTCTCAAATGCTGATAATATGAAAAAGTGAAAATCAAGGGACGTACTTTTCCATCCGATTTCAGAGCAGTTTCACAATCAGGGTTGACAACGAATCCCTTCACCATGTTATCCCGGTAGACAGTCGTCATCTGCCCTAACGGTCCTTGTCCCAAAAACGTCACCTGCGCAAGCATTCACGAATTTAAGGAAAAAACGTGACAAGTTCCTGCACACAGACTTTGCAAGATAGCTGTAGGGACAGTAGAGTTTAAATTTCTAATGAAGAACAAAATACATAGTCGACGTGCTTAAAGTTTGGCTGGCGGCACCTGAACAGATTCATCGTTTCCCTTCATGGCACCCACAAGAAGAGTTCCCATCAAAGCTCGACCTAAGGCTGCCGAAGCCTGTAAGTTGAGAAGAAGCGCATGACAAAGTGTAATCAGTACTAGAAGTCCAAACTCTCGGGGCAAGAAGCATGAATTTGAGCGAAAGGTAGTAATTTGATGCTCGTTAATTACCCGATGACTGATGTGCTCTTTCACCAGGCAAAGAGTAAGATCTAGAGCAGTTATATTCATTCGCCCATCTACACAGTCCCAAGGGTGCCCTGGGCAATGGTGGCACAAGTCAAAACTTTGAGTTTAGGAACAAGAGTCCCTGTGTACCAAGGGCCACGCACCGTTGGAGAAGTTTGGTGACGGCGTTGAGCTTCTCGTACGACGTCTGTTGCCACAAGTGTGAGAATAGAGACCTGCAAACGGTGAAAGTTACGACCACCAACGCTGTGTGTATGACGTCGTACAACTCTTATATCATGAATAAAACAGTACCACTAGTCATCTGTTCCATCTTTTCTCCCTGCCATATCTGATCATCGTCGAAAGTAGTAAACAGGTACAACCGTGCAATTGAGAAATTTTAAGCTTCTAGACAGCGAAGATCTCTCGCTTGCCCGAAACAGATTCCACCAAAAGCATTACCTCAGCATCATAGGAGATGCACCGTAAAAGCTGGTCTCCTTTGGATACTCCTACACCGTTCTTAGCTCCATTTTCCCCCTGAGCTACGGTTGTGAAGACTCTCAATCTCTGAGGTAGTCTTGTATTTGCAGAAGGACGAATAGAGTGCCTAACTGTCACCCTTAAAAAGTCTGAGCCAAACCCCGGCCTTTGGTTCTTTGACTGCGCTCCAGATTTAAAATTTGAAGAGTGTCGTTGGAGAAACTTTTGTCCATCTAAAAACGAAGCACAAAGGAACACTGTCAAGGCCCTGGTTGCAAAGCCGGCAAATTTTTGTCCCTCAGAATCAGCTAGGCTCCTTGCGAGCATAACTAAGAAGCATGCATTTCGAGTTTAATTCAAGAGAATTCTACACAAGCGGTTTCAAAAACAGCTACGGATCCTCTCGGTGCTTCTGCTGCTCTGTTTAACACTTGGCTCTCCAAGCTCAATTTGAAGAGCTTTCTGTGACAGTAAGGTAATAAATACTCCGAATAAGGGCAAAGTATGTCACGATTTCTTCCTACAGCGAATCTTCTTCAAGGTTGTGAATGCCTTCAAATTCGAACTTGAGCTTTTTTCATATTCTTGGGACAACTTTCGATGGTCGAATCGAAGTGAAATTAGTCCATACGCCAGTGACATCTCGAGCACTTTCGTCAGAGCTATAAATTCGACCCATCACCGTTGTGGCCGGCCTATGCTGAATGAGAAGAGACAGTGGAGAGACAAAAATATTCGAATTCGAAACGCAGCACACAAAAATTGCGGTGACAGAGGCGGCGACGTACTCTGCACAAAATCAGGAGCTGGGCGGCGCCATTTCCATGTCAGCGACAGAGCGCTGCTGGCCATCGCCATCGAGCTCCCGAGCTATCCAATTTCCTCCAGAACAAATTCCTTTTTCGCAGTCCAGTGTTCGAGTAATTCGCGGTCAGCTATCGGCCCCCACTCCTTCAGGAGTCCAGTGCAATCGTCAGTTGCTCACGCCCACAGACGACTCCTTCGCAGTGTACCGAAATTCAGCTGACAAGCGTTCGAACCTGCAGACGAACAGTTCTGGAGCCCGGAAGCCCAGAATCTTGGATCCCACGGAAACAAAGGCGGCGAGTCCCGGTCTCCCAGAGGTCCGCGAAAAAGTGCAGCAGCCATAGCCGGATGATAGATGTGGCCATGCATCAACCATCCAATCATTCCCCTCTCAAGGAACAGGTTCAACCGTGTCGTTGCTCTGTGTTCCCGGTTCCGTTCAGGGACCGGACCTCACAAAGAGCTACTGCTCCCTCTTTCGTCGCTCACTGGGTCTTGTCCCGGTATGGTATCAGGTCATGGGGAGTGTTTCTTCAGTTCAGCATGAACATCTCCCGGTAGAGCTTAGAGGATGCTTCAGTCAGAGCATTGTTAGTCTTCTCGTTGGCCCGGAAATCTTCATAAGCCGACAGCTTGAAACCTCGGTTATTGCTTCTCTCCATAAGATATTTCCACAAAGTAACAATTACAGGGTAATCACATTAAGAGGTTTTTTCTTTCTTAATTCATAAACTGTGGATATAAACTTGATACGCGTAATAAACATTATGGTTTTTCCTTTTTGGTTCCCTCTAGATATTTGTACAGAGTATACATTTCTTTTCGGTACCTCGATATGAACGTCATATCCTTCACTAAGTCTTCATAAAGTTGCAAACCAGGATACCAGTCTAGTGTCTTATTCCATTTCATATGAACCATCACATTTGTCGTGCAAAGGTTATATGGCAGAGCAGTTTTGAAGATGAGTTATCTAGCTGCTGGAGAAACCTGGTCTTCTAGACAGGTCTTATTGTGAACCTGGTCTTGTACAGTGTATATATATTTCCCTGATCTAATTGTGTTCCTATATGATATCTGTTCTATTTCTCCTCTCTTCTTCTCTCATGTCATAGCTCAGGTTCTCCTTCCATAGTTTCGGGCTGGTCGTCTGCTCTTCAAATCTCCATCGGTCCATATGATTCCTGCTGTTCATAAGCTTGCAAATTTTCCTGGAAATTGCTAACTTGAGCGAGGTTGGAGTCAACTACGGTGACTGAACATACATATGACCCCTTGCACAATGAAGTATCTGTGGCCAAACTTGCATTGAAAGAGATAGAAATGGGACCATTCAAATACAGTCTGTGCATATAGAGGTTTGCGATGTGGACACAGCACAGGCCGGAGTAAGTCACTGGAGTCCAATATGTTGGATTTATATGGATCCAATACAGGCCTCAAGTGTGACAACAAATGAGAAGAGACTGAGGTTGGAAAGTGACCCATCTTTTTGTTTCTTTCACGAAACGTTTAGAAGAGAGGAGATATCTCTACCCCAACAAAGGTCATGTGACATGATCCTCGATACACAGAGGCGTGGCCGACATGAAAACTTAGCAAAAATTTATCTTCGCCGAAAGGACAGTTGTCTTTGGACGGTGCAAGTAGAGAGGAGAGGGCAATAATAATGAGGTATAAATAGGAAAAGTGCATTACGTGTGTGTGATAAGGAAGTGCCAACATGAGTTTGGTAAATACGCTGTCTGCAGTCCTCGCCGACCGTGGGGATCGAACCCACGACCACGTGGTTAAAAGCCACGCGCTCTACCACTGAGCTAGGTCGGCTGATTGCTTTTAAATGATGCAATTATATATTTAAATTTTTATTCTGTAGTTCTAAATTGTACACTGGTTAATACAAAAGAGCCGATGGATAGCTTTTCTGACGGAGTCACACAAAGGTTTAGGCTTTAGTAAGTCTCCACACTTTGCAAGGAAGTGGCAAAGGAATGTTCTTCTGCTGAAGAGCTAGCATCAAAACATCATATTACAATCCCTCCATGCGATTTCCAAATTCTCGTTGGAGTGCCAGGATCTATAGTTTCTTCAGGTTTAAGTCGTGCATAAAACATCGCAGGAATTCCTTCAACCGGTTTATCCTCTGTTCTAAAAATCGTTGATGACCTGCGAAGTGAGTAAGAAGTAATAGTGGGCGTGGAGCCCACCTATCCATTGTAGCTTTCTCTCCCATCCTGTCCCTATTTTCTTTATAAAAAGTTATTCATTCATATTCCTGGGTAGAACATGTATTACAACGTATACTTTCAAAATTGAAAATTACATCTATTTAAAAACAAAGAAATTTAAAATCTTCATTGCAAGTTTTTGTAGTATTATAAATTTTGACTCTATTATTCATAAGTTAGTTATCTGAATAATAATATATATTTTTTCATCATTACATTGAACTTGTTATGTTACAATAACGTGTGATTCTAAATATCTCATATGGATTCCTAAAATATCTCATGCTTGAACATGATATAATAATCTATGATAAACCATCAAGCTGAGTGGCTAAGAAATATAACGTACAATAAATTTAATTGTATCATAAAAATATAAATGTGTAATTTGACATGCTAAAAAATTCACAATAACGAAAGATTCATAAATTGATGTTGATAAGTATTGTACAATATTGATTACAGTTGATTTATTTTCTAAATTCGTTTAATTTAATTGTGTAGATTCATTTTAAACAAAAATAAAATATCATTTACAAGAAATATGAAATTATGCTTATTCAAATTTTTATAAAAGAATAAAACTTGATATAATTTTAAGCTTGATATATATTTATTATAAGAATTATATAACAGACCAGTATAATGTTGAAGTGGAAAAAAAAATTCAACAAAGACAATACAGTTTTGGATAAAACAATATGAAGAGTCTTATGAAGTACTATGTTACCAAAAGAGTTTTTTCTATATATCCTTAAATATTATTTTTTAAAAATTATTTTTTAAAGAAAGTATCATCATCGTACAATTATATTTTAATTGCATGATGACAATGATGATAGATTTTTATTAATGATAATTAAATAAATTTAAACTTATGATATCAAATTGAGTCATAGTTATTGAGGTTAACTTGTTAAGGAGTAATCTGGGTCATTATCTAAAGATAGCTAGGGTGGGTCGCCAAGAGGGAGATTAAATATCTCAAAGATTTCCAATTTACATACGTTTTTTCATACTGTCAATACATTCTCTTGCATTAGCCTTTGGAAGAATCGCGCAATCTCGTGTTGGAATACTCTGTCACTGTCTGATTATTTTCATTCTCGATTCATGCTTATTAATAGTAGACTATTTATAATTATCATATATATACTGTAGTTCTTAAGTGGAGAATGTGAATATATTAATTCATAACTAACATATAAATGATTCATGTATTCATTAATGATACTTGTCATGTAGTATATTCGCAAGAAGTGGATTGTATGGTGATTTTTGAACTCTTACATCTTTGTAACTTTTGAAAATATAATGATGAAATTGAACTGAATATTTGATCAATCTATTTTTAAGTTTGATGTCATATTTCAAAAGATATTCTATATCCTACTCTAACGTTACATGACATCATTTACACTACTCTTTCGGTATTGATGAAATTACAAATCTGATCATCAACATACCTATTTTTAGTATATATTTTGAATTATATACTCAAATAATTTATTGATATGTATTTTGAATTAATGAGCTGAAACTAAAATTTTACAAATACAGAGATTAATTCCATGAAACTTATAAAATATGAGTTTCTATCTTATTAATACACATTTAGTAATCTTCAATGTATTACACTTCAAACAAGTCTGGTACATTTTGCTTTTATCCTTGTAGGGTTTTATTGGGTATAGTCATGCTTTCTCATGTTTAATTGTTGTAATGTTCATATCGTGGTTATCTATACTACAGGGGACTCAGTTCATTACGACTTGCGAGTGCAACTGCAACTGTCACCGTTCATCCGCCAACTCTTAAATCTATTTACATCCCGTCTACCGAAGGAACAATTTAATCAACTTCCCTTTGACTCAAGTTACGTAAGGTGACAGAGGAGATTTCCAGTTAAGTTTGTTCCAACTGGCGAAGTCGTGGTATAATGAAACCCACTGATTATGGTTCGTGAAAACGGGATGTGGACAGTGGATCATTCTCCATTTTGTGCAGAGATCTTTCACAAGGGCATTGCAACCTCAGAGCATCACTCTAATTAGGCTTCCGTTCGGATCACCTGATTCCAACCGAGCTCGTTGACTGGTGTGAGCAGTCCAGACTGAAGCTCCACATTCTCTCGGATCAGTGAAAGAAGAGTGCAGCAAAACTCAGCAATTCCTTTCATTGCTGCTACAACTCAGCAATCCACAGTATCGAGCACTTTCTAGACGACTTCATGAATTCCGTAAGAACATTTTTTTTTTTAATGAAAAGTATCTGTTGCTGGGAACGTGGGGTTTCTCTAGGTTACCCACAGTCGTGCACTTTAGGAAGTCCGTGGATTAAAGTACCAAGATACTCTGCAGAGATGATTCTCTGCCCATCGACTAGACTGTGAGTCAAAGAATATATCCCAGACCTTATCAAAGAAAATATGATCCACACAAGTCATCGGCGAACTTCAAAGCTGGATTGACCCCACGTGGATTAAAACTGTGGGGCAAACTACTATCCTACTCTGTTTCTTCACTTGTGTTCAATAGGAGGATCCAAAGAGATGGTACCTGGTCGGTATCAAAGGGTTCACGAAAACCGGGTCGACATCTTCCTCAAGATACTTAAGCAATGTGACAGCTGTACGATTATCTGCGTCCTCTGGTTATTCTTACGTCAAGATACGGACTTGGTGCGCAAATCACTGAGAAGGCAGAGGTCTCCTCCTCAGAATACAGTTGACATATACTTTACCACGACCGGAAGCATTTCGCAAGAATAAACTGGACATTTACATGCGCGGTCCACCGGACACAAACAATCGTTTGCTCGTCAGAACACTTCTGACGAGACTTGTATGCAGGGACCAAATCCTAATGAGTTTGACAAGGGGACTTCGAGCTGCCCACCGCAGTCACTGTACCGAAGATCAGTGGGTACAACCGGTACCGAAGATTATTTGCCTGCCTGAATATCATGGGCGCCGTGCACTCGCTGCACGGTTCCCTCTTGTTTGGAAGCAGGTAAGTACGGGGATATTTGATTGTATGCGGCAATTTGTGTGGCTGTAACTTGATAAAAACGTCTCGACCGTCTTCATTGATAATCACAAAACTGGTGACAGATTCAGTAACAGCACACCTCTGGTAGTTGCCCTTCTTATTACAAGGCTTCACTGTACATTGTCGAGTTTATATCTAACATTATTTACCTGAAGTCAAGAGTCAGAGAAATCTAAAACGAGATCACGGTTCCGAGCAAAACTAGCAACTGAGCCACAAACTCAGGATGTGCTGGCCAAGCAGCACCTGTCACAAGCAACCCATCTGTAAAGCACTTGCTGATGGGTTCTGGCTCTAGCCACTCTGCACCTCCCAGCACAACTTGAGGCTTCACTGCTGGGTACGCCGTGCATTTTTTTCCCTGCGCAAGTTCAAGATCAACGAAATCTATGATTAGAAGACAAACAAAGTTGTAATACACTGATCTCTCTTGAAGAGGAGAAAATCATTAACGGACAGTCAATATGCTGGATTCAAATGCTTCACTTTGCAGTATCAAAGAGAGAAGACAATTGTAGTCACTTTTGACTACGGTTCTTAATGCAAGATGTGCAGAAATCACCTTAAGGACACCTGCTGCAGCAAGTATCTGCTGTCCGTGACAGATTGAAGCGATGGGTTTCTTATTGTTGGAGAAATGTTGCACAATTGATAGTACTTTGGAATTCAATGCCAAATACTCTGGAGCACGGCCTCCTGGTACCACAAGTGCATCATATTCAGATGCTTGTACATCTTCGAAAGTGGCTGTTAACTGGAAATTGTGACCCGGCTTCTCACTGTATGTCTGAGCCCCCTCAAAATCGTGAATGGCAGTAGGGCATACGTCTCCCTTTTTCTTGTCAGGACACACTGCATCAACCTCATAGCCAAGGGCTAAAAGAGCTTGAAATGGAACCATCACCTCATAATCCTCCATGTAATCCTACAGCCGAGAGCAACGTGAGGCTAAATTCGTTGAACCTTACATTGACCTCACAGGTCAGATAAAACTTCTGAAAGAGAAGGAGATACAGCCGACAATCAAGACTACAGCTGCGTGGGATTCCCCGTCGTTAATTTCAATATTCTAAATACCAATGGTCGATAAACTTACCCCTTTCATAAATCATAACATCTAGTACTAAAAGCTTCACATTATTAAAAATAAAAAACGTCAAAGTCCAAAAAACATGGCGCGTTTCATTATTTGTCCTCAGATTCTCATTGCTGCATCAAAGCAAATTGTAATTGACACGCCTGTCGGAAAAGATAAAAGACAAAGAAATGCAGGAAAACATCGAGAATCATGGGCAACACATGAACTTACCCCACAGATGAACAGAACTTTCTTGTCGGCACCCACAATGGATGCTCCAAGTGATGCAAGAATCATCTTCAAAAACTCAGGATGGCCAGGCCATGCAGCGCCAGTCACCAGCTTTCCATCTGTGAAGCATTTTGAAATTGGCTCTGCATCCAGCCACTTCCCACCGGCAGCCAGGACAGTCGGTTTCAAGGTCGGGTAGGCCGTACATTGCTTGCCTTCGAGCACTCCGGCTGCCGCAAGGATCAACTGTCCATGACAAATTGACGCCACAAGCTTATGTGCTGTTGTGAACTTCTGGACCAACTCGAGGACTTTTTCATCCAGGGACAGATACTCAGGAGCTCGTCCTCCAGGAACCACCAAGGCATCGTAACTGTCGGCATCCACCTCGTCGAAGGTCGCATTCAGAGCAAAGTTGTGTCCCTTGAGCTCTGTGTACGTCTGGAGGTTTTCAAAAGGTTAGTTGCTACAACCCACAAGATGGAAAAATTCAGAGTCTCTGCAGATTTCAAGACGCACGAATTCTTATCCACCCTTTTAGATTTCCTTCTTCGAGACATCACTCACATCTGGCCAATCACTTTACTACTGATTCACATAACCATTCTGGGTCCTCAAAGCAATCATAGGGTTCGAGAAGGATTCTCAAATCACAACCAAAGCTAGCTGCTGTAATTGTTCTGTTCATGCAACTTGCAATGTAGGACCCTATCCACTTTTTTAACTACGGAATTAGCACTTACATCGTTTTCTTACGAAGGGACCCAACAGAAAATAAACTTCCCAAATATAAGATTTAGTCCCAGAACTTTCTGCAATCAAGATAAACGAGACCACATGTGCATGCATCGTTTATGCCAATCAAGCTGAATTTTCAAAGCTAATGCTTCGGTTTGCTAGCGGCCATCTCAGCTGTGTACAGTTGATATTGAGATAGGCCCAATGACTTGGTGAGACCTCATACCTGATGCCCAAGAAAGTCGTGGACGGCCGTGGCAACAGAATCACCCGCTTTCTTTCCAGGGCACACTGCATCAACTCTGATGCCGTAGGCTTGCAAAGCCTGGAAAGGAACCATTACCTGCATGGAACTCCAAATACCACCTCATTACTGGGAAGCCTTGGGTCCAAAGGTCAAATATACTCAGAATCCTTTGATCTTCCTACGATCATCCGTGCCACAAACAGCGGAATTTTCTCAGATTCAGAGTCAACCGAGTTGGGAGTGGTGTCCAGACTTTTCATCCATGGTTGAAGAGGGAATTCATTATACACGAGGTGGGATTAAAACATCAGGAGGACCGATCAATTGGGGGGGTAAGTTGTAGCTCCGCTAAACTGCATTGAATAAAAAGAGCATAAACCACCGTGTCAAATCAGCTGACATGATGGTTTATGCCGATCAGCGCCTTTTAGCTAATCCTGATTCGAATCTTCGAAATGTCTAATACGGGAATGAGTTTCCAGGATTAAGAACTGGTGGAGCTGTATTTCAGAAGAGTATCTGCAGATGGCAAAAGAAAAACGGGATCTCCCAATGTTCCCCTGCCTTCGAACAAAATGCCATCTTTGAAGCTCAACCTCATGATTCAAAGGAAGCGAAGTGGTCTCAGAAACAAAGAAAGGCAGCGCAATCGAGAATCAGCTCGTGTCAAGCACAACGGACTGAATATGAGATTCGCAAATAATCAACTCCAGGACATGTCTGCACGAGTCCCATCTCGAACAGAATTGCCATTCAGCTGCCGAAGAACGAGCAGTAAGTACCTCATAGTCCTCCACATAGTCTCCAACTAGCAGGAGCACGGATTTCGCGGCCATGATGGCAAATGGCAGCGTGATGAGCTCACTGCGCCTCGACTCGACTGAGGCTTCGCTGCGCTGGTGACGCACTCGACTCGTCAAAGATCCGAAACGCACGAGAGCATGGGCTGCCAGCGCTCCACCGCACGCTCATGAACCTCTGCGCTCTGCGATCCGATCCCGCAGAGGGACAAAAGCTTTTCCGTTCTCTTCTTGCTCTCGTCCCCTTGCTTTCCAGCGGCTACCCCAAAGCGCTCCGTATCTTCCGCAAGACCACAAGTTTTAGATGGAAGAATGTTTTATTCAAAGCTATTAATATAATTTAGACTTCGCTAGTCCTTCCAATCCGTGGAACACATATGTTTCTCACATGATATGTTGTCCGAGAACAATGTCTCAGCTCGTAATTTTCGAGAGTGCATTGTGAATATTCCATGAAGTTGCATACACCCGACATGAGTTGTTTTATAAATGATCTCGTATGAAAATACATGGAAGAAGACAAAGAACTATTTCACAAAAAAATTTAAAGTAATGAAATATTACATGGATGGCAAGTTAATAGTTAACTCAGTTATTCTTACATCAGGTTATTGCTACTCCAGTTAATATTACTAGGATCAGTTTGTCACTATACTAAATCATCAATGAAATCTTGTACATTGCTGACGGATTGATTTTATGACATTGTATCTTTATACCACATTTTTTTATGGAAAGTTAAACAATTTCAAAATTTAGTCGATTTTTCTGAAATTTTTTCGTTTGTTTTCTTCTCAAAGACTAACAAAAATCTTAAACAACATAATACAATCTTCATATTCATAGATTTATTTCAAAACTAAAGATTCATATGTGAGACTAAACAATGTTCACATCTTGCTCTTGAAGATTATTCTATCATACCCATTGAAAATGGAAAGTTTAGAACTCATGTAATAATTGTTCAAATTTTTTTATTGAATAAAGGCCTGGTACGAACTGCACGAAAGGTAAGTTGCCCATAAATTTCACATGGTTACATTTTATGCACTCTACATGTTTAATAAAACTCACATTTACACATCGCCTAAAGTAAGTTTTCCTAGTAGGACTAAATTAAGCTAATTTAAAGGAAGTTTTAGAAGTCACATAACATATTGTTCAAATATTTTTAATATTTTTTAATTAAATAAAGGCCTGGTATGGACTGAACAAAAGGTCGGTTGCACATGGCTAAGTTATCCTGGTAAGACTAAATTAAGCTAATTTAGGACCCCACTAGACTAACCGGGACCGCGTATGATACAACAACAAGTCTTGCTTTAGCGACTCGCTTAGTTGCACAAACTTTTACAAACTGCCGTACTGCCAGGTGTCAAGGATCCCAGTTTCTTTCTCCTCTTTCTTTCTTTCTTCATGCTCCCTTTGGGCTGCCCCGAGTCAGCCGGATTTTATCTTAGTTTTGGGAACGGGGAGGCGGGGCACTTTGCGGGAAGGCTCGGCGGACCCTACATTCCGGCAACCATGTAGAGGCCCTCAACCGGATGAAATTCCAACAACCATGTAGAAGAGAGGCCGTCACTGTAGAGGCTGCAATGTTGTATCTAGTGCATTGCAATGATCTACGCCGTAACAATGATCGCGGTCGTGTCGTGGAACGTTGCGGGAAATAAAAACTAAAACTGAACCGCAAGAGGTATAGCTCAGATGGAATACCTAATGTTCAAACTGTAATATTTGTAATCATACGGTGATAACAAATTGAGGCGACAAAATTTTAAGCGGCAAAGATTAGGGTTTTTAAAAATAGAATCACATCGATATTCTCCAGCTCGTCGTTTCGACGTCGCTTTTGGGTGCCAATGTCAGTGCTTTGAGGAGCTCGTGCCAGAACTCGTGCTTGTACTTTTCTTGTCATTTCAGGTGCTTTTTGCAGGTGTGGTGACAGCATGGAGGCAGGATGGATTGTGCAGTACCCTACAGCGTCAAGGTCAAGGCTTATCAAGGTCGCGAAATGTTTTTGTCAGTTGATGTAGTACACGTTTGAAAGTTGGAAATGTAGTACACATTTTTGTCGGCACGGTAGTAATTACATTCCCGCTTCTTAGAAACTGGTCAGCAAGTGAAAATCATTCCATTCATTCGACGGTTGCTTCAACCAGGAATTGATTCAGCTCGCAAACCTAACTACCTTCAGAATGCCTCACTTACTCTGACGTTTGTAAGTAAATTTCCTAGTTGTACCATTTAGAAACGATGTTTCAAATCCCGTTTGATGCACATGCAAACTGTTTTCAGCAGGAATTGCGAGAAACAGCCTTCCCGATTGTATCTTTACCTCAGCTGAGAAAGGTATTGGTATTGTCTAAACCATATATCTACGTATATACAAGTTGAGCGTTTGTAGCTTGGAACAGATTCATCAGGGTTCAATTTTAGCTTGAAGATCCACTGAAAGGTTTTCCTTCTCTCCCTGCTAACGGATCTCCAAAGATCTCTCACGTCCAACTACCATTCTTTTAATGAGAATGCATCTCTTCGGTAATTGCTATGTACTATATGGTGCTATTTTTTGAGCTCATGGGCTCCTTCAAAGATACTGTTTCCAGGGTTAAGTTTGGGAAGGTGCTAGATTTGCTCTTGCTCGCTTGGACTTAGCCGATACTCGCACTAAGCATGTAGTTGTCCAGGACTCAACATCATGTCCATATTGCTGATGGAAATTGTATACCATATTACACTGTGATCGTTTCTCTTATTCATTACCATCATAATTAATGGATGACATGTATAAGTCGGTTTTAAACAAATCAATGAGAAAGCAATATGGAAAACGAGTGACTCTTAATTCTCAAGTTCACCAAGATGCACTTGGGAGTTCAGGGTTGTTTAATAAGTTCGATATCAACCAGGATTCAATAGCCAACTTTGGACACGGTAAGAACTTTATTTTATTGGCCATCTTTGTTACGATTGTTTGTTAATATTCACACTAAATTACATTTTGTTGCTGTATCTTTTATGACTAACGCTTAATGAGACAATTGGGTAACTTATGCAAATTTCACCTTTTCAAAGAGAATAAGAATACTCAGGATGCCTTGATGATTATTGGCCGCATGCTTGGAGTGCAAGTGAGATAATTAGATCCATAAATATACATTTCGGCTCTATACTATATGAAATACAAGCTTAAGGAGCCGCATTTCATGAGAAGTGTGATTGCTCTTCAGTTTTGTTGGACAGCTTCAGGCTTTGAAGATGACAATGAATTTTAGTTTTCGCAATGTGTTGCAGCCAAAATCGTTTTCCTTTGCAGGTACCAAAGACAAACGAGCCGTCACTACGCAACAGGTATCTGTAGCCCTTTTTCTGAACTATTCAGTAGAATTAATTGTTTTCATTTTTGAGGTTCATGCGTTCGTGTAAGGTGAACGGGTTCATTATGCATACACAAACAGGAATTAAACTGAGGCTTTCTTTGCCTCCTATGAATGAAAACTTCCCAGTCTTCAAACTACTGCTCTTTGTACTCGTTATGTACATTGGAGGATCAAGGCGTTTTATTCAGAATTCCAAGCACAGAATTAGATTGCACGTTTCTTTTATACTGAAACTCTTTTGTTTTCAGGTAACTGTTTACAAGCAACCAGCAGCGAAATTGGCTCTACTTAACAAGAAGCCTATGGGAGTAAATTTGGTAACTTCAAGTGAATTCCCTACTCGCTTCAATCTTACTCTCCGTATAGCAATTGGACTTTAGACTCTGCATGTGAACCCTTTTCATTTTCTTAAAAAGTCTTTTGTGTCATTTCCTTTGTGTCCATTGTTGTCGATAGTATTCACTGTTTCCTTGAGGCTTCAAAATCAAAATCATACAAGGAAGATTGTGATTGAAAGTCTTACGTTTATCTCTCATAGTTAACTAATTTTTCTGTAGTACTCTAAGATATCTTTGTGTTGTCTTGGTTTATTGCGCAATGAGAAAGTTTCAAAGCGAGGCGATGAGCTTCTTAAACGAAAGACGACTGGTGTTAATTTGGAAGATTCAACACTCATACGACGACTTTTTACCATCTACTTAGGTGGGGATCAGGCTAAACCCATTTGGAGTAATTTGACCTTCTCTGTACAGTCAATTTCAGATGTGTACGGATAGTGTAAGCTACCGCATTGAAGAGTTATTTTTCGTGTTTCTTTAAAGATTCAACTTCATCTTTTCCCTACTGTGCATCTTAGGCATTGTAAGTAATGCCATAATTGAGGCATATAAGTAATATCATACTTTCATTTACTTTCTCCAACCGAAAGGTACGTTTATCATTTTGCAGAAGTTTAATGTTCTACTACCGTTAACATAGAGCATCATTTGAAGATTTCTCAAGTTTCTATTGGTCAGGTACTCGGAGTATGTGTTGAATCAATGTCTTTGTTGAGTTCTTCAGGGAGTTGCTTGTGAAGTGTAGGCCAAAACAAAGATTATGATAATTTCTAAAACATTTTTTTCGCTTCTTAGGCATCACTGAGTAGAATCTTTAAGGTAGTCTTATCAGTTTCTTCTCTTATTGCAACTCTCAGAACCTCGACAGAAGACTCTTGACTAGCATACGGCATGCCAAATGCTCCAGTTGGTACTGAGCTTAAAACCCTGAAACCTTGACTTCTTGTTGCGAGCCAGCGGTGTAGTGAGCGGTCATGGCGGGAGTATTTGGGGGCGAAATGGAAGATGCGATATTGGATAAGCACTATGCGAAGGTGCCACACGTCACCAAGGGCGGTAGGCATAACTGGAAATGCCTACTGCAAGGTTGTCCTTTCCCATGAACATTTTCCCAAAAATATTATATCGAAAAGCATTGGAGGAAAGACCATGTGGACTGTCATCTCCAAATTACTCAGAAGCTTCCACCTGGACCAAAGACGACTGGAGTTTCTAGGAAGGCTGACAAGAAAGAGTTGATTGACTCTTGTGACAAGCATTTTGGTAATTTTTGTTAGCGTTGGATCAAGCACAAGCAAGATAAGTTTGACTTCTTTCGAACCAAGGTATGCAATTCTTCAGTGGCAAGTTTTTTTTTCTATTTGCATTGTTTATTTTAAATTGAATTCATGTAGACTTTCATAAAATTTTTGATTTATTATGTTTATATTGCAATAACCGTATATATGTTGCAGAAATGACAGTTTGAGTTGTGTGTCCA